AAGCCGAATGAGACGAGAGACCTGACGCCCATGTTCGCGGGCGAAGACGGGTGTCTGCGCTGAAGTATTGCTGTAGAAGGGTGGCAGCAGAGAATCGACTGACCGACCAGGCGAGGGGATGGTGAAAAATGAATTGAGTGACCTTCGAGACGGAGAATGCCTTGACTTGATAGTTAAGAGGAAAGAAGAGCGATGACGCCGATGGATGGATGGGGTGAAGGATTCGATGGTTGGGGGGGAACTGCGCTGTGAGGAAAACTGCGAGGGTGAAGAGACGCGTGCTTCCCGGTTTCCCAGTGCAGCAGAAGCCGGAGAATCAGCTGGATCGATCCGGGCAGTGCAGCTGATACAGATGCAAATAATGCAGCTTCTGGCGACAAGGACAGGCGCCGGCTCGTGGTGGTTTGTATGATGGGAAACAATGTGGCGAGTGATAATTTTGTTTCAGTCTCGGGCAAGATTTAAAAAAGAAAATGGTTCGACCACAATTGGCCCGTCGGATGGAGCCCGTTTCAGCAAATCTTCTGTTATCCGCAAGACACAACCTAGACAAGTGGCCTAGCTGGGTGTCTCTGCCGTACCTGTCGGCGTCGCCAGACTGAGAATTTGGGGGGATTGAAGGGGTTGAGGCAGCTGGTTTGTGGCCATTGGGGGAGCGCGGGAGGGGTGACAGGGGGAGCACCGGCCAGGAGATTTGCAAGCCCTTGGCGGACCAGTGGCACCCCGACGCACCAGTGGCGTATGTGGCCCACCCTCCGGAAATCCCTCTAGGCCAGATCAAGTTTTAGCGCGCCCCAGCCCACTCTCGCTTGTTTAGGCGTGCTTTTGGCCGCGTGTGGTTGGTCTTGTTTTTCATCTTCACGCACCCCTGGCCCCTGCTGCTAGCCTCGTCACTTGGACTCGCGGCTTGCCAATTTGCATGTTTTTCCCAAATTGCCTTGCCTTGTTTGCCCAGCGCGCGCCCCCGGAACAAAGGTTGTCAAGATTCTTAGCGACTCCGTTCAGGCACGAGTCCCTCGTATCCTCGCAGGCAAGGCCCTCGCTAATCCGTACCGCCCCCGTTATCATCGTCAAAAAAGCCTTGTTAGAAGCTCTTGGGCTCCATCTGTTCTCCGTAACCCTGGTCTTTCCCCAATAACAATCACATCGTCGGCCCCCTCCCCAGCCTTTCCGGGTTCTGTGCGCTGCACTGGCCCATCGGCAATGTCACGGTGGTGATCTGCTACTGCTTCCCACTTGCGGGCCCCAACCACTCCACTATGACATGATAAGGTCGTTAAGATGTACACCTACTTGGATTGTAGCGCAGAAAACAGACCAACGCCTCTTCCTGGACCAAACCCAGTTTATCGTCTGTCAAACTCTGCCACTCACCCTTCACTCTTCTCGTGTAGTCCGTCTCGATCCTCCCTACCTATCCCTCGTTTTTGTATAATCACAAGTCAGACAGTCGTTGGAGGTTCCAACTCAGGTTGAATACCCTCGCTCATACATTCGTTATTCCTCCTACCCACGCTTAATACATCCAAGGGGCCAGCAAGATCACGTCCTGGGGAAGCGGATGATGAAGACGCTCATTCAGTGACACGACATCACGCATTCCGGGCCACAACCTGCTCAAAGCTTCACCCTTGTATCCTCCCTCTCTCTCCTACACCACCCTCGTTTTACACCACAATGCCTCCTCTACGTAAAGGGGATCGAAGGAGATCCGAACAACCACCCATGACCGAGTTGTCGACGGTATCGATGCAGTCCACGCTACGAGAGTCTCAAGAGTCATTCATTGAAAAGCCTACAACGGTTCATCCGGTATATGGGAGATATAGAGAAAGCGCGTCCATCGAACAGCCCACGCTGGCGCGGAGACCGGGTTTATCAGACCTCCACAACAGAACCCTCTCAGATCTCATGACCGAGAGCATTGCGGACAGTACGTTGGAACCACCGAATGGCGGATATCCGTCGTTTGCTCCCAGCGCAGGCTCGACCTGGTCAGAGTCGCAGACGCGTAGCTCATCTCCTTATCCGGTACCGTCACCTTTCGTAAGTCCGAGCCTCTTTTACAGAAATCAGACCCACTGACCGTCTATAGCGAAGTCAAGAAACATTAAAACCCCTGGTTCCCGACGCCCCCTCGACTTTCTTCAAGAAAGATTGGGTCAAGGAAGGATCAATCGCCCAGCTCCATTCGAGAGACGACAAAGAGTTCCTGTCGGGCAAGAAGAGATGGCTTTTCCGCTGGATAGCACCACTTCTCTGCCTGATTTCGCTCTCTCTGTATTGGTTCTATTTCGGTCTGCGTATTGCCTTTATCATCGACGCCCAGCATCACTACGCCGCCCCGTTCCCTCTGGCCTGGGTCTTTGTGGCCATCGAAATCTCCATTGCGGTGCCGATTTTCATGCAGACTCTGTGGTCCCTGTTCATCTTGAAGAAACGCCACAGGCCAAAGCTGAGGCTCGTCGGCAACGATGTCCCCACGGTCGACGTGTTTATCACGTGCTGTGGTGAGGACGACGATCTAGTTCTCGACACGGTTCGTGCAGCTTGTGACCTGGACTATCCTCAAGACCGATTCCGCGTCATCCTCCTCGACGATGGCAAATCAGACCCGCTCAAGAACGTGCTGGAAGAGATGCGAGAGACATTTCCCAACGTCTATTACATGCGGCGTCCAAAGTTCCCCGGTGTTCCTCACCATTTCAAGGCTGGCAACCTGAACTACGGACTGGACGCGGTGCAGAGCTTGCCCGGCGGTTCCTCGGAATTCATGGCCGCCTTGGACGCCGATATGATACCTGAACAACAATGGCTCAGAGCCGTGCTCCCCCATCTGTTGATCGACGACAAAATGGGTCTCGCCTGCCCCCCGCAGCTCTTTTACAATGTCCCCAGAGACGATCCCCTTTGCCAAAGTCTGGACTTCTTCGTCCACGTCTCGGAACCGGTCAAGGACGCATTGGGTGTGGCATGGTGCACCGGGTCTGGATATGTTGCTCGAACTGTCGCTCTAGCCCAGATTGGCAATTTCCCCTGCGGATCGCTGGCTGAAGATGTCGCAACGAGTACCCTGCTGCTGGGTTCTGGCTGGAAGACGGCATTTGTTCACGAGGCGCTGCAATTCGGTACTGTGCCAGAAGACTATGGCGGTCATCTCAAGCAACGTACGCGGTGGGCAATCGGCACGGTGGATACTGCCTTCAAGCTGCGGTTCTGCCTCTGGGGCGACAAGGTCAAGCACATGACTTTTGCGCAGCGGTCGTCCAGCTTCATCTACGCCTTCCTCAGCTTGTTCAACATCTTCCTGACCCTCTCCATCTTTGCCATGCCGATTGTCCTGATCGCCAACAAGCCTCTTGTGGCATACGCAAACGACACCCAACTTCGGTGGTTGATCCGCGCTTGTTTTGCCAACATGGTATTCAACCGACTTTGCGAGTTTGTCCTTTTCATCCCAGCGGGATATGCCACGGGGCAGAGAGGCAGCCGGTACCAGCTCTGGATGGCTCCATACATCTCCCTCACCATCATCCGATCATTTGTCCTTCCGACCTGGCTCGGTGGACAAAGGCAAGCTTTCAAAGCTACCGGTTCGATCAAGTCGGCGTTGAACGAGCGAGACCCCAAACTACGAGCTCCAATGTGGCGACGAATCTGGACAATCTGCGTCAACTACCTCGCCGGCTTCCATGTGGCCTACGTGTACTTTGTCCTCGTGGCGGTGACCCTATCATCCTATCGGACGTTCCTGACCCAGCACACCACAAGGGGCAAACTTGTCGGTCTCTTGACCCACGCATTCTGGGTAAGTTTGTCTCCTGCTCTCTGCCAAACATGTACTGACCGTGACACAGCCCCCATTGGCGTGGTTGATCGTATGCTCGTCCTTTTGGATCCCCTTCACCTACGCGTGCGACCCTCCCAATTGCCCGGATCGAGAGGAACTCTTGGTGCGCGACCCAAAGACCAACGTCGCACACCCGACACCAGAAGCGAAGAAGATTGCATTTGCCCCGCAAACAGTCTTTTTCGAACTTGAATACTCCGTCACCACCGCGTTTACCGCGTTGGTGTTTGTGGCGGCATTTTTCTATTGAATCAAACAGCAAAAATTTAATGATGCAACGAGCATGTCCATGATTGTCGCCATGAGTTTGCGACAGTCCAAAACTGGATTCATTGAAGCGGAGCTACACACATCCACCAGGCATTTCGGTGGCAGCAGCCAGGCCTGGACTTTTGTACATACAATGGGGGAAACCTCCAACATAGACATACACGGCAGTCCTGGCGTTTTCGACATATGACGGAAGGAGGCGCTTATTGCTCGCGGCGGGTTTGGATGTCCGGACGGACCAGCAACAATCTGAGGATTGTCAGGAGGACCTGGGTATTAGGTGCACCAGGGGTGGATGTGCATGCCTATCTGATACACCATAATGACGGTATAATAGGGCAAAGGTGTTTAAGCTATGAGAAAAACATGGATAAGATGGTCCCATGAGATGGAGGGGGGATTTAGCAGACTTACCAGTACCTAGTAGCGAATACTGTAGATGTATGCAGTTCGTTGTAAATACACTCGTCTTGTCATCTTGGTGCTTGCATTGTAGTGGTTGTGATTGCATTTGGTTGAGGGTCGAGTTGCAGACTCGAGAGCACACCAGAAGAACATCTTCACCGCTTCAACACAACCGAGCAGTCTGTCTGTCTGGAACTTGTCTACCCTCGTCGATGCAGTGTTTCTCTGCACAGCCACCTCACATCATACTTGATGTGACTCGAAACAAAATACACAAGCAAGCACACACACAGCATATGTCCATATTTACTCGGCACGATCAAGTACACGGTCCACGCGCACATGAATACGCCTCCCTCATCCCTCGTCTCCCATCCAACAGACCCAAGACCAGTGGCTGACCTGGGATCTATTTTTTCCGACCTTCGAACTCACACGTCACATCCTGACGCCTGCCAGCCTGCCTACCTGGCGACTATAGCTTCGCCTGTCCTCCGACGCCCGCGCCACCAGGCTGGTTCGAGACAAAAGACCCGTCCCGCTCTTCCCACTCGCTCAGCAGCGTCTTCTTGACTTGCATGAAGCGACCTGTTCCTCTCCTGTGGGGTGGGGATGTCGCGTTAGTTAAATACGTGGCGGCATATCAGTTGGAGAGAGTGACCATGTATCCATCATGGACATATAGTGCGAGATATCAGGTGGAAGAAGAGCGCAAAAAAAGGGGGACTGGGGGGACTTGACTCACGCCATGGCTCGAAACTCGGCCGTCTTGCCGTGCACGCCCAGCGATGCGAGGTCCTTGTACCGCTCGACCATGAGGACTTGGTCCGGGGCGTTGTTGTTCGTCATGACGCAGTATGTCAAGGTGCCGAACTCGTTGGCTTCGACCCAGTCGCAAAATTTTCTGGCGGGAGTGGTGCGTCAGTGATGGCTCCGGTGGGTATTTGAAATGGTAGAGAAGAAATCTACAAGGGGGGAAGCAGGATCGAAGCGTACCCGAGCACGTCAATCAGCCCGGCCTTGCTGGCCTCACTGTCCTTGCACACAAACTTGGCCAGCATGACGATGCTGGCCTTGGGCGACTCTTTCTCATTCTTGCGCGCCACGAACCCAGCGACCGGTGTCCACTCGGAGATATCCATGTCCTTCTGGACGTCGTACAGGCCCTCGCGCGCCACGGTCGTGTGGTACTCGCGGTACTCGGGCGCGGGGGTCGTCTTGACCTTGTCGAGAGCGGCGCGCGACGTCCAGATCTCGACGACCCCGAACATGGTGTCCTTCTCGGCCGCGGGGACCATGCCCATGTTCGCCTTGGGGCGCGTCGCCGGCGTGAAGATGGTGCGTGTCGTGCATTGCGTGCTGGGGCGGCGGAAGAAGGGTGTCAGGCCGGCGTTGAGTTGGAGGGCCTATCCCAGAGGGGGGAGAAGTTAGTATCTCTGAGAGGTGTGTAGGGGTATTTGTTCGCTTGGCTGAGAGGGTGTAGGGTGTATCCGATGGAATTTTCAGACTGATCGAATAGGGCACTCTTCCTCGCCATGCTCCTCCACTGCCTCAAACCAGAAGATACAAAAAGAAAAGGTGAGTCTAGTTTACCTTATCCCTGTTCTCGGTGCTCTTGGGGTGTATCAGGGCCAGCAACGCAAAGGGCTTGTTCTCGGACGCCATATTGAGTTGAGAGTTGGATTGAGTCGAGGCGAGATTTATTTCGTTTTTCGTCCTTTCCCTTTCTACGCAGGGTTTCTGCTCGAGGAATTCACAAGGCTTCCTTTCACTTTATGTCGTCGGATCTGAATGAGGGAGACGAGACGAGACAATCTCGGTTGTCGTTCCGTTGGGCTCGAGGATGTGATACACTCACTTCTTTTTTCTTTTTCTCAGTAATAATGATCCTACTTGATCTGATCTGATCACTTTCTCGAGAGGTGTAATACTCTTGATTACTATGCGAGTACGAGGGACGAGGGAAAGCATCGGGTATGTACCGAGTACAGTATCCACTCGTGCCAGGGACCACTTTGGGGATTTGCCTCGGCAAGGAAGCATTGATATCGCCGTCACCGTCGCCATCTGAGTCGCCTCTGCCACTGGGGACACTTTTTTTGACCACTGTAATCTCTTTAAGCGGAGAGTGAGTCAAGTCGTTTGACCATCTGTTCGAGATATTCTGTCTCCTCATACCTCGGGCCTCATACCGGTGCCCGATTCCTTTGATTGTGCTTTGACTGGCAGGGCCCATTGGGACGGAGAATGAAAATCGCCGAACAGTGCCGAGTACGAGGGTAGATGATTCGCTTCCTCGCTCCTCGCTACTCACTACCGAGTAATTCGGTCCTCTGGGACGATATGTATCTGGGGCTAGGATTTCGTAGCGTCTCTACGAGTCTACGGTATTGGAGTTGATGAATGTCGAAATAATAATAATAATAGGAGACCTAAAGGCCAACTCCGAGGACTTCTAGCGACTCGTACTGTTAATTGCCGAGTACAACAAGTACTTGGTATGGGACAGGTACTGTAAAGGTAAACGGCCATTGAGTAAGTACTGTCGTGTACCTAGTGAGTGTCCAAGGGGATGACGAGATGAGGCGACGAGACCACTCAGAAACCCCCGAAAACACATCAAGTCCTACTAGGTATGTGTACGTACATACGTACATCATGGTGCATACGTTATAAACGTCATGTACCGAGTCCGGGTAGATACTGTAATGTTCTCATTGTTTTCTATGGTACTAGTCTTCTAGTACAGATAGACACAGTTCCAACTCCCTCCCTCTCTCTCTCTCGCGCGCGCGCGCACTCACTCCTTCCGCAGCCTCTTGATCGTCGGCCCCATCTCCTCGCCCGCCCTCAACGCCGCAAACGTCTTCTCGTCAATCTCGGCCCGCTCCCGACACAGCGCGACGACCTGCTCCACCAACGACGGCGGCACGACGACCACCCCGTCAACATCCCCGGCCAGGATGTCGCCTGGGTGGATCCACAGGTCGTCGTGGAACTGGAGCGGGACGTTGATCTCGGAGGCGCGCGTGAAGGTGTGCGAGCCGAGGATGGAGGTGGTTCGGGCGAAGACCTGGATGAGAGAAGCCCAGGGACGGCGGGTTAGCTTGGTGCCACTGCTGGTGTCACGGTGACGGTGACGATCAATGGACAGTGACAGTGATAGTGCTGGAATTCAAGGAAAGGTGTTCAGGATCCGGTATCCAGTACCCGATCCGCCCGTGGAAGAGAAAGAACCGGGGGAAACATACTGGAAACCCCAGCTCGCGGTGCTCTCGCACATCACGCATCCGTCCATCGATAACAACCCCCGCGGCGCCCATGTGCCTGGCCCGCGTCGACATCAGCCCGCCCCAGCACGCCGAGTACGCGCCCCGGGGCTGCTGGATGTACATGATCTTGCCGGGCTCGTTGCAGTCGACAAAGTGGCGCGGGGGGCTCGGTGCCGCTTTCTGTGTCGACTCGACCATCTTGACGGTGACGGCCGGACCGAAGACGGTCGTCGTGGCATCGGTGGGCGAAAACATCTTGATCCCGTCGAGGAATCCCCCAAACGGGTATTTCAGCTTCACCAGCGCGTCGCCGATCTAGTGGGCCCTCCCCCCCGTCCACATCAGTAAACTCACGGAACGATGACAGAATATCCTGGAAGGGTGGAGGGATGGTTTGACTGGTTCTGAAAAGGACAAAAGACGGAATGAAAGGTGGAAGAAACTCACGTCGCAGGTGGTAAAGGCACGTAGTCGTTGCAGGCTGGCAGCCATGGCTATGGATGGTTATGGCTGTCCCCGTTGTCCCGGTCTCTCCTGTCCTATGTATCCCGTCCTGGCCCTCTGCTGAACGAATCTTTCGTAAGAGGTCTCTGTCGACCGACGTACCACGCCAAAGCGAAGCGGCTTATAATTGTTGACCGCAAAAGTAAAGGCGAGACTTGTGGTACGTAATTACCTCGCACTCGGTATCAGTTACAAGTACGAGTAAGCTTTCCCCAAAGCTCGGCTTTTGCGGCACGAAACCTGAGAGTTGCGTGGTACAGTACATATTAGGTCAATGTGGGCGCTGGCTTGTTATTGGCATTTGACTGGCCGGAGGGTTTCCGTCCGCTGATCATCGGCCTCTGCTCCGTGTGGTCTTTCCGAATAGACAAAAATACAAAAGTAATAATCGCGAAGTAGAACGTGGAGGATGGAAAGGAGATTGTGAATGCAAAGTCCACCCGAACAAGTAGATGGCAACAGGCTATATTGGCTTAAAAGAACCCTCTCCGTGGATTGTAGCCTGCCACAAACGCTTTTCTATGCCCTTCCTGTGTCTGCTACCACAGGCTCAACAACGAAGGAGATAATTCTCGCTCTGCGGAACGTGCTCCCTCACAACCTGCACGATCTCAAGCCAGACTTTCTTCCGCAAAGCCTCTCCCTTTGGTCCTGTCGCCAGCTCGCCTCTTCTGTATCGCCAGCCAAGTCAGCTCTCCACCACACTTTTCAAACATTCCCTACCAAAAGAGGAGTAGTAGGTCAAGATGGCAAGGCAAGGCAAGGCAACTTACTTGTCAAAGACGTCGTGACTCCAGAACTGCCCGTTCGCATCCTCTCCCAAAGTCGTTCCACTGACGAGAATCCTGCTCCCTTCTTCAGCCGACCGGGCAAAGACCATTTGGAAAAGGTGGGTCGGGAGTTTGAGAAGGAAAGAAAAGTCGCGGCCGAGAGTTGTGCGACACAGGTTTGGGCAGCATGTCGTGATGATGACGGCTGGGTCTTTGTGGCCTCCGGACGAGGAATGCGCTGCTGCCGCGACCAGTCCATCCATGACATACATCAGTAAGAGCTTGGTCGTGCAGTATTGCTGTTCGACGTCAAAGTATGTCTTGTCGTTGACGAGGTCTAGCACTCTCGAGCCGCTCTCCAGCGCCGCATCGAATGCGTCAGGCTTGACCATGCGGTGCCCGACACTGCCCACAAACTCCAGGTGGGATGGTTCGCCGGACCTCTCTGCGGACTCTCGAAGCTTGGGATAGAGTAGCACCGCAAGCAGAGCGGTCGACAGAGTATTGACCTGCAAAGACATCTCAAACCCTTCCGGAGAGCGCCGATAAGACGGCGCTGCCATGCCTGCATTGAGAACAGCGACGTCGACTCGGGATTCGTCCGCGCACACGTGTTTGGCAAAAGATTTGACCGACCCAAAGGTGGTCATATCGAGCTGATATAGCTGGATATCTGTATTCTTATAACCCGATCGTCGGCAGATCTGATCTCGGGCCTCTTCGCCACGCTGTATTGATCTGACGCCGAGAATGAGACGCGAGGCACCCAGTGCGGCAAACTTGACTGCCGCTTCGAGGCCCAAGCCGGCGTTTGCACCAGTGATGAGGACGGTTTTGCCTCTGAAGGAAGAGTGAGGGTTCTCCGGCGGGTTCTAGAGTTTGGTCAGTCGCTTGCTTTCGAGTGGCCTGCGCAAGGCTGTTGCGTCTGGGAGGTACCATCTTACCCGAGCACTCCACCACATGGCAGAGAGACCTTGGTGATCCGGAGGAGACGGTGTCATGGTGTCAGATTGAGTGATTGAGGTGCTGGAAGGAGGTAGATGCTGTATAGATTCGACACCGAGCATCATGGGCGTAGCAACTGTTTTATTGCTTCTCGGAGCGAGTGTGGAGTCGAATCGGAACGTTTGGGTGAGGCTCCCTCAAATCCGCCCGAAAAGGACGCAAACCCTCCGAACGTCTCAGCCTGCACAGTCGATTTCACTTTGCGTTGTTGACATTGATCATTCGCTTCAGATCGCTAAGGATGGTCCTTAGGGGCTCGCAAGGCCCCCGGGGTTCATGCAGCGGAGGCTCCTCCATGGCCTCTTCCTGCAACATCATGCGGAGCATGTTGGCGGATCCTGTCGTCTCCGAGACTCCTTGGCCCGCGGTGGCCCCCTCTGAGACACCAAGCTTGGCTTCGAGCTTCGCAAGCATATCTTCGCTCACCTGAACAAGGATCTGGACTTGCAGATCGAGGCGCGATTCGAGGCTGAAGCCTGCCAAGTTGATGCCAGGAAACAGCTGAGGCAGGGGTTGTTGTAATGATAACAGAACAGGCATCGAGTCGTGAATGCAGGAGAAGATAGTACGGTAGATGCGGATGAGACAAACGTAGCATGAAAAAAGAGAGAACGTTGTTGGAACGTCGCAGTGTAAGCTCCCAGTACAGGTCTGTGTGGCCGGAAAGTGGTCAGGGTTTGAAGGACAAGAGGACGCTGGCAAGATCGAATCAAACGAATCCATGATGCCGAGGAGAGTCTTTGAATGCTCAAGCATTCGACCAACCAGGAAGGAAGAATTGTACGCCAACTCGGTAGGTAGGGATAGCTGGGCGCAATCGGCAGCCGTTTTGCATGTCTTTGCAAGATCCATATCAACGAGGATCTCCTTTTGCAGGTTGCCTAGCCTCTCAAGACTGTCACCCGAAGGGTTAATGTGGGAATAGACCGGCTGGCCATTGTCGGGGAGAGTCTGGAATGTTTGTAATGCCTCCATATCCTGCTGCATAGCGTCTGGCCACCCGTTTCCGAGGCCATCGACGGAAATTGGTGCTAGTGGTATCTGCATCTCTTGACCAATGCCAGAATCTGCGTCGGTGACGTCCGTAGGTGTGTGGAGCGTCTCCTGTAGAGACCACCCCTCCAAAAGGTCCGAAGGTTGTCGCCTCAAGGATGGGCGTCCTGACTTGAGAGCGGCACCAGTGACACAGGCAACATTGGCTTTCGAGCACCGGCGACAATGTGCCGAGTCTGAAGAGCGATCGCACCGGAGCTTGTGGCGCCGACAACGGTCGCAGGCAGAACGGCCATTACCTTTGCCATCGCTAAGGGGATGAAACGTCTGCATCATTAGTGGCAGAGAAGGGTCCCATGTCAGGGACAGTCCAAGGTTTGAACCTTCCGAGTTCTGCCCCGAAGATGTTGCTGGCCCCTGTTTGATTGTGTGATCGGGGAGGTTCTGGATGAAAGACCAACAAGCAAATGCTCCGATATTGGGATCAGGCTAAGAGTGCCAAGAAAAGAAACAGTGTGTATAACAGACTGTCATTTGAATACTCAAGGCTATGAACCAATCACGGACTTCCTTGCCACGTGCAAGGCTGCGAGGCGCAAATGACACGAGGCTGAGAGTCACTGTAGGAACAGTTGTTCCTTGTTCACAGGATTCTGAAGAGGTAGGTTGTATCATGTGGATTGCACTCCAATTCCCACCGTCTATGTCAACCGATCCAAGACGAGCATGTCCATATCCAATCTCATCACAATCATACTGATACAAGCAAGCCTTGTCCTCAATATCCACATCCGCCTCCTGCATATCCTTGAAGTGGTCCTCGTACCCTGCTGCCGTGAATAGCACCGTCAAGTGGATTGTAACCCCTTGACTGAGTTACTCCCATATGCTCTGCGGGTAGAGTGATCCATATCTTTTTTTTTCATCCATTGTTTTCCTCAACATGATCAGACCATGCAACTAGTCTGACTCGTAGCCTGCAAGCATATCCTCGTCGAAAAAAGGCGAAGACAAAGTTTGATCCTTGTTTTGCCTGTTCCATCTCACCCGATAGGCGGGCTTGAACTCCGCCGCAAATTTCCTCAGTGGGCGCGAATCGTCTCTCCACATCGCCAGCCAGGCTCTGTAATCGCCAACGACGTAGAGGCCATATCTGGCGCGGGAGAACATAACATTCAGTCGATTCTCGTTGAGAAACCCGGGGCTACGCACGACAGTAGGGTCCACGATAACCACGTCGTACTCCATGCCTTGCACGCTGTCGACGGTCTGCAGGACGACGTCTTTGGCAGCCGGATACTGCTTTTCCATTTGGGATTTTGATATCTTGAGCAATCTCTTCTGCTCAATATACGGCGTCAGAATGGCGATAGAGCAGGGCTTCCCAGGCTTTCCGAAGCCCGCATCGAACAGATTCTGCAGAATTTTGAGCACCAATATGACGTATTCCTTACAGAATCTCGACAGGTGGTAGTTCCGTCCTTGTGTAGCGTCTTGTATGTCGTAGAAAACCACAGGTTCGGGAATGCCATACGTTTCTCGGTTATGTTCGATGATGTCTTTGGCAAGTTGATCGTCTTCCAGTTTCGACGTTCGACCATGTTGCAAAAGACCACCGTAGCAGACATTGCTGTAAATCTGGGCAATCTTCTCGACGGCTCGATATTGCACATTGAAGAAGGCCGACTTGAAACCTGCGGACTGAAGACGCTGTTGAAGTGACATTTCCAGCTGGTCTTGGAAAGGGTTTATAATCAACTTTGCGCTGTCCTTCGTATCGTCTCCTTTGATCATAGGACCCAGCTGGTTGGGATCTCCAACCAGGATCTTGCCAACAGCCTTGGGATAGAAGGCGAATAAAGGCCACATCTGGTATTCAGGCACTCGAGCAGCTTCATCAACGACAATTAGCTCAGCTTCCGCGTAGTTGGTGCTGCAAAAGTCGTCCGCAGCTCCGCCAACGGTTGCACAAATGACCGAAGCGTGACTGATTGTATGGGCAAGAAGCTCGTCCAGTCTCAGATCAAGATCTGTCCAGTCCACGGAGCTGAACAGATCACCGTTGGTGAATCGCGTATACAGGTCTGCGAATTCCGTGAACCGGCCTGCATCACAGAGCGGGCTCTCCCCACGTATTCCGGCGATCTCGAGCATCCTCTCGCCTGCAGAAAGCTCAATGACATTCACCCGCTCGTCGCTGACACCTTCGTACTTGCGTTCCATGTACGCCTCGCAATGGGCGAGAACTGTCGCGGCCTGTCCCGACACCGAAGGCTGTGGGGAAGGCTCACTGGTGGGAGGTTCGGTCTTTTTGGCAGCCAAACTTGCTTCTCTTGCCAATTTCGCGTCTCTGAAGGCCACGGACTTCTCTGTCTTGATGCTGTGCAGGCGGATTACATATCGCCTACCCAGGCGCTCCCTTGTATGGATCGCCCGCCTAAGTCCTCCGTCCAGAGCTTTTGCAAGTGAATCGGCACTCGCGTTTGATGCTGCTGTGAGCAGCACACGGTGCTCTTTCGCATTGTCGAGAAGAAATGGCCTGACAGCCTGGATGATGAAATGGGTCTTGCCCGTCCCAGGCCCGCCGTGGCAGAGGACGAGCCCAGCAGGAGCATCATGCCCGAATCGGATTGCTTCCTTTTGGCTCTCATTGAGAAACATCCCGTCCTCGTGTGAAAGAGAAGGGTCACTGAGGGACTCAAAAATATTGAGTCGAGTAATGTCATCTGGACAAGTTGCAACTAGTAGCTTTGAAATACCACCATCTTCCGAGCGCGCTACCTTCGTCCTCAGGTCGGCCAATGCTCTGATAACATAGACAAATATGCTGTGGCGGTCCTCCGGAATGACCTTGGCGCAGATAGTCGCCTCGTCAAGTAGACCCCATATTGCGGCCCGCATCCCACGGCCCTGTCGTATGGAATTAATCCTTGAAAATGAAGTGACAGGATAGGAGTTTGAATCGTGATATCCATCTTTATTGGCGTCCTGGCGGCGTTCAATTGTAGCCCAAGCCACTTCTGGAGGGCCAGTTGCAACAGGTGGTAGGATGTTGATGACCCAGGGTCCGCGTGGGCGTTTTCGATTGTCGGCATGGAGATATGATGGGTCTGTGCGACTGTCTGACGAATTATCGACTATGATCGGTAGGGAAGAGTGCTTAGTCAGGTGAGCAGATGCCTTGTCTCCCGCTCTGAAATTCTCTTGACATCTCCTTGGGACCTTGAACAGACAGATGGTTCGGGTTTTGTTTCCTTCTTTGTGCTGTAGGAGCTTTATGGGCGTTTCGAATTCTCGATTCTTCTCTCTGTCGGCAAGAGCTGACTCGATAAGCGCACCAGACCCGAGCAAAGCGACGTATTCATCCCAACTTTTAAAGGACTCTTTTGCCTTCTCCAGATAATCAGGGACATCCTCACGTTCGAGACAGCAGCGGTGATCAGGATCAATATATTTGTTGAAGAACGGCGCCCAAGTTTGTAAAGGCTCAGGCATCTTGCCGCAGGTGGGAAGTGTTGCCCGAAGAGGTTTCAACTGCGGAGATTGAATTCGGGAACTGATGATCGACGCTGGGAGCGGCAACTCTTCAACAGTCTGAATGGCAATGAAGATATGTGTAGTCGTCTGAATGAGTGTATCTGGGTAAAGAGACCTGGATGTCAAGATCAGAGGGATGCCAAATCACCGTAGGACATTAGTGACAAAGAACTCACCTAAATTTTCACCGGACCTGAAAGATTTCAAGTCAGTTGAGGTGCATGTACTGAGGTGAGGGACAGAGCCACGTTGCGCCGTTATCTGATGGCAAAATGAGTGCAAGGTGAGGTCAAAATGATTGTCGCAAAGGTGTAGTAAAGGCGCTTGAAGGCTCACTTTTCGTCAGATTGTTCGACCTCCACGTCTGGCCAAACAGCTGAATTGAGAGGAAAGTGAGGTAGTGAACCGAATTGAATATTGGCGTTGCACTGGCCTTTTTATCGTCAAGAGTGACCTGAACACGGCAGATAGCCGCTCTCAGTTGAAGAATATGACTGAGTCGTGACTTAAGCATCAATCCAGGTGGAGTAAATTAGGTTGAATGATAAAGACTCAGAGGCCTGAAAAGATAGAGAAGGACTGTTGACACGCAAGGAATTCACTAAGCAACCTTTAAGGATTATGCAGGAAGCGAGAAAGAGAGATTGTGCTTAGTTTGATCAGCGAAGATTGTGAAGCGTTGGAGCTAGCTTAATGATCGAGACTTGATTCGCCAAATTGAGTGTGATACTTGGCGCAGAGGCTTATTCACACAATGAAGACTTGTGACGTGCCAGAGGTTTATCAAAAACTCCGTGTCAAGGGACAAAATAAACAAATCAACGCAGGTATTCGGCGTTACGAGAGGCCATGTTGGTTTCGCCAATTGCCTGGGGGTTCGTTCCAAGCGCCATGCTGAGGGAGGACCCTCCGGAGGTATTTCATGACCAAGCATGATTAATATACCATTGTACAATGTAGTTGATAAACAACAATCGGAAGCAGTGGTGAAGTGAAAGGATGGAAAACGTGGTTCGGACAAGGGTGTGCGTAGCGGCTACCCCAGAGCCAAGACTAACCTTTTTTTTATGCTTATAGCTTGAGCTTCCGAACCCACTCTGAACAGCCATGATCGACTCTCAAGTCCTCAATCAACTTCGACTAACAATGGTTACTGTCATCTCTGCAGCATGTGGGCAGCTATATCATAACAGTGGAATCTGGCTGGAATATCTCAGTAGTGGGCGATTCGTCCTGCTATGTACCGATTACTGTTATTCTGAATTGATTCTGCCGAAAAGGAGACAGACTTGGATCCCGTTCCTCTGTGGCTGGTCCTTCTCTGCTGGTAAATCGCACACTGGATTTGGATCAGCGTGAAATATTAGAGGATGGGACTCGGTAGCATCGAAGAGTCCACTCGTCTGAAATCTGAGGCTCAATTACATGAGTACCCAAGCGATTGGCCCCCGGCAACGCTCTGAAGGACAAGGTTGGAAATTCTCTCTCGAAGAGGTAACAACCATAAGGGACACAATAGAAACAGGAGGAGAGCTCTGCTCCTCCTCATGTTGCATGGACTCAGTGATGTCGAATTGTTAGTCCCAACCACTCGAGTCTCTTGGGGCTATGAGTCTCTCTCGTAGCCTCAGATGTTGCTAGGACTATCGACCTTACTAATCAACAGCCCTACTCACAAACTTGCTAGTTGATTGGTCAGAGCCGCGCTGCTCCACATGGCGAGTTCCACTGATTCAACTTTGCGATCACGTGTAGACACTAGTCTACTATCAGACTAGGTTCAACCATAATAGGTTAGTAGATGGTTAGTTTGGACTATGGTGAGATTGGGGACTATAGCCCCGCAGGTCTTGCGATCGGCTCTTGGACTGGCGTGACTGGTCAGACGGACCACTTGGCAACACTGCAAAAGATTCGATCCTTATGGGACCGAGCAAGAAGGCAGGTTTTACAAGACAAGAGAGCAAAAAGGTAAAATGAAGCGAGTTGAAAGTGCCGAGTGAGCTGAATGGTTGCACGATACTGCAAAGAGGCAGCAGATTTCAACTTAGGGGGCCGTCGAACTGTCATCATCCTTACCTGCGGAGAATTCCCATTCTGCCAAGCAGTAGATCGGTTGCGAAATGGGGGATGGCAAAGATCAGAAATGGACATCTATCTGAGGAATGCTTGATACCCCCGACGACATATATTTGTAGGCTGAGAAGGCCAGTGTAGAACAGAATTGCAGAGAGACTTGAACATGAGGAAATTGTGAAAATGCTGTTCTGTTAGTGCCCAATAAGCTCATTGGTTCTTGTTGGTTGAAGTTTCAGCTCGCTTCAAAGCGTCCACTGTGGAACGGTAATTGGTAGAGATCCTCTCGGCGGCCACCCCGGGGACTCAGGCAAGACTGAGCCCATTATCTAATCTTTCCTTCATTTATTAGAGTCTCAGATTTCCCTCCAACAATCACAACACTTGGGGATGGTGAGTACTTCAACAACACCCGCAAACAACAAAATCTAACAACACTACAGTGGTCTAGTGGTATGACGTTTCCTTAGCACTGAGCCTAGATAGGCGAAGTGGAAAAGGTTCAGGGTTCGATTCCCTGCTTCTCCAATCGTTTAAACATTTTTTTTTTTGGATGTTTTTTGGCTCAAATATTCGAAAGTTACACGGAAAAACCTTTTGTCGACCCCATTAGGCATCAGGGCACCAGGGCGCACCACCAGGGTTCGACAGCCCAACCATCACCACCCACCGCCAACCTTCTCACAATTTTTATGCCTAGGAAGACTGGAGAACAATTGCATGGATTGGCCTGTCTATCCCTGCGGCCTGTCTCAGGCCGCGTGTTTTTGCTGATATACAATTAGGAGTGGCACTAGACGAGCTCTCCTGAATCGTGCTACCGACTCCCACCGCCTGTTGCACACTTGGAATCCTCCCTCGCAAGCCCCCTCTGATCAATAGAGATTTTCAAGGAGTCCGTCAGCAGTCCAATGGGCTACTACTCTTACCAGGTATAGCCGAGAGCCCTCAAAGGCACTCCAGAGCCTTTGTGTGTTGTTGTTGATCTATCTCTATGACATGGAGCTTCGTTTCACTCCAGAAATGACAGTAGAAGGATCTTTTGCAATATAAAGCTTTTGATGTGCAGTACAATCTGTATAAAACCGATAAGAATTTGGTAGCAAACAGGAAGGTCGGTCGACCCCGTAGCCCAGGTTGAATCTGGCCATTACTTCTCGATATAACGAACGATGCCTTCGGTTAGTGTAAAAGACGTCATGGTAGTTCCGCAGAGGCTATCGAAGTGAGGCGTCCCGTTAAACCTCGAGGCACTGTTGAACCTCGAGGCAACAGGCGGTGGATGTTGGTAGCACGATTCAGGAGAGCTCGTCTAATGCCACTCCTAATTGTATATCAGCAAAAACACGCGGCCTGAGACAGGCCACAGGGATAGACAGGCCAATCCATGCAATTGTTCTCCAGTTCCTAGGCCTGACTTGCGTACCGGAGCAAGGGATATACTTGCAGTCTGGCCATGGCTCTTTTGTCCCCCGGAGCCAGGGTCGTCGGTTATCGGCTATACAAAACCCCCGGGCGCTGGAGATTGTGGGGAGCGAACCACTGACAGAACTATGTGGGGACGGCGGGTGCGCCTGCACCCAACGTCCTGTATGTTTGCTCACTGTGGTCGTCTCGGGTCCTTCGCTTCAGAAAGCTGCTGTGTATGCTGTGGTGAGACTCGTCTACAATGATCTCTTCCTCCCAGAAAGATCCGGGACCGGCCATGTCGTTACACAAGCCTGTTCGTCAACGTCGAGCTGGAAAGGCCTGTGAAAACTGCCGCGCACGTAAGGTCCGTTGCGATGTGACTGTCCGTGGTTCTCCGTGCCGCAACTGTGAGATCGATGAGACACCGTGCCTCATGGCTCGGTGCCGTCGCGGCAGGTAAGCGATCAAGTCGAATACACAGACCGCTACTAAACGTCGGTACAGGAAACACAAAGACTGGTATATCGGACTGGGCAGATCTCGGGGTGAGAATGCCGTCGCCAGGCCTATTGATCGCAGTGAGGACGTCTTCTATACCAACCTTGACAGAATCACAGACGGCGTCCGACCCTCCACTAACATTTCTACCAATGCCATGGCGGTTCTGCATTCAATGACATCTTTGGGGGACGTGCCACCGAGTCTGGACAGACTTCAGCAACTATCTCCCCCACCCATTCAATCCCCGGAAGACATCCCTCCACCAGATTTACAATCACTCTTCCAGTCGTTCCCCAAGAGTTTTACAGATATTGACATGGCGTATCTCAGAAGCAAGGGTGCTCTCGATCTGCCCCACGAGAGGCTTCGGAACGAAACTATTCGATGTTACTTCGAATATATTCACCCCTTTATGCCTTTGCTCGACCCCACGGAGCTCTTGACTGTGGTTGATGGAAATGGCAGCCATGGTGCTGCACCAAGGCTCAGCTTGTTATTGTTTCACTGCGTAATGTTTGCGGCGGTGCCGTTCGTCGAGGAGGCCCTCGTCAGAGAAGCAGGTTACGTCAATCTGAAGATGGCTCGAAGGGCATTCTTCGAAAAAGCAAAAGTATACCCCCCTTGGGCCCTTCTGGACTGGACATTCAGCTCACACGACTAGCTCCTGTACGATGCCGACTTTGAACACGACAGCATCACCATCATCCAGTCCGTGTTGCTCATGAGTTTTTGGTCCGACAGACAAACACAAGAAATCCACAAACAAACCTGGTATTGGGTCAACATTGCGATTTCAATTGCCCAGACCATCGGGCTGAACCAAGACCCTGAGCCGCTGCCACTGCCGCCCCAGAAGAAAAGTCTGCGGCGACGTCTGTGGTGGTGCTGTTTCATGAGAGACCGGGTAACGTGCCTATACTTGAGCCGTCCGTTGCGGATCCAGCCAGAGGATTTCAACGTGGCTCTGCCGACGGTGGAGGACATGGAGATTGACAGGCCTTTGGCTTTTTTGAACTCAGAGGCGTGCTCGCACCGCCTCCTTCACCTCTCTTGTTACGACCAGACTACGCAGGCTGAGTTGGCCGAGATCTTCATCTCCTTCTTGAAACTCTGCAAAGTGATAGGAACCATCCTGTCTTCACAGTACTCTCCCGTCAGACCACCTTCTGGGCCTCGAAACAGGGCTACTCAGGCGGCGATGCCGACCATGCTCTTCCCCGTCCACAGCCCGAGTTCGGAGCAGAGTGCTGCAACGCCAACCGAGTCTACTATATCCCCCCTCGAGCTCACACTCCAAGAGTGGTACGACAGTTTGCCTCGTTCTGTCTCCTGGAAGACACAGCTAGAATCGCCCGGTTCAGTGTGTGACGGCATTGCCCGAGAGGACATTCAATCTGCAAAAAAGCATCCAGACACGAGGACAGCAGACTCGACCAAACCGTCGAGCGTGGCGATTCAGCGCGCCATGCTGCACATGTGCTACTACACGGCCGTGTCCGCCTTGCATCGTTCGCAGAACCAGTCCCGCCACTCCCAACACCAAGTGTCGGATTCTGCGGACAAGATCGCCCAGATTTCAGCCTTTTTGAATGATAAAGGTCTCGTACGCTACCTCCCCGTGACTGCCATCACGATGCTGGTACCCAGCATCATCACGAGCGCTATGCGCATCAAAGCGATAGTTGAGGCGTCACATCGCGGAAGAAGTGACCCTGCCCGCGACGACGAGCTGGTCCGAGTACGAGACAATGTCAATAGCCTGTTGGTCTCCCTCAAAACCTTCCAGAGGGTGTACGTGGCAGCAGACTTGGTGGCAATGCTGGTCGAGGCCATGCTCAACCACGCCAGGATGAAGATAGTTGTGCCCCAGCTCGGTGACTGGGGAAGGCTCTTTGCAGGAAATGGAACGAGACATCGAGCCTTCGAGTTGGACGTTCAACTTGGATCGACAGAGTCACACAAAACCACGTCGGCGAAGCATAAACCACCGCCTGTTCCCGTGATTGCAAATACACCGCAATCCCCAAGCCTAGAGACCGATACCGCCCTTTCGGCAGACATACACAACACTGACCTTAGTACTTGTGCGACGGACGGGGACAACAGCTGGCAAGAGCTTATCGATCCTGGCGCCGGTCACGCCTTTGGTGTTGGCATAGGTGAAAATCTGTGGGACGCGGCGTTCAATCCCGACAACAATGATACGACGGGACAGTGGAACTTTGGCAGTATTGGGATTGACGGCTTTGACGAAAACATCGACGGGATGATACACTGGGATGGCACCGAGATGGACTGGCTTGCATGACGCGGGAGCGGGACAAAAAACTATGAACCTGGCAGTAACCATTCCCTTATATGCGTTGATATGTCCCGAAAATGTATTGTATGTAGATAGCCGCTGAACGGCACATGCAGAAGCCATGACCACTAGGTATTGCTATCTGAGACTCCGACGTGTTCCTCCCCGCCATACAAGTGGAAATGGAGAACAACTCCTTACCCCTTGTCAGGACCAACCGGCCTTCCTAGCCTAGGTACAATCACAGTTCCGATGGGCACGGCTATACTAGTACTGCCGCGTACGACAATACCTATCATAGGTACATATGTCCACGACAGGCTGCCCAAAGTCAAAACTGTCATATGTACTGATACAAAAGTACTGCTATCCCACTTTGACCTTTCCACAGCTGGTTATACTCGTATATTCTAGGCCTCCCCGACGAGCCAGACCATCAACACAATACCAACGGTAGCAAAAGCGACCCGCAAAAGCCTGGAGGAGTCCGAGGGGTCCGAGGGTGGCCGTTGCGAGGACGTTCGGCCTTTTGAACCACACGAGAGAGCGAATTCGGGCTGCAGAGTTGGCGATTTCATTATACCTTTGAGACGGAGGTCATCGCAAGCAATTCTCTTCCACCATGCCATTCCTGGCTCAAAAAAAGCTGAGCGTCCCAACGAAAGATCTGCTGTCGTGGATTTTCGACGGCGCAGACTATGACCCCAACAAGCCAGTAAGCAATTGGAGCCTGTACAAGAGTCGTGAAGAAGAGAGGCCAGCACTAAAGATATACACACCTTGACAGATCTATATCGACACCTCGAACCCCTCGCGAACACTATCCCTAAACCAGGGACTTGGCTTGGTCCGCAAACTCGCCGCTGGATTCCGAGCGGCGGGACTAAACAAGGGGGACTGTGTCTGTGTCCACTCTTTTAATGATGTAAGTTGATCATCTCCTTCTAGCTTGCGTCCCTGTTATCCACCATCTCTGTCTAAAGCTGTTTCCGAACATTGACACTGGAACCACCTAGATCTATTACTCGGTCCTGTTCCTGGGAATCCTCGCCGCCGGGGGCATCTTCGTGGGGACGAACCCTGCGTACACGCCCTTCGAACTGACGCACCACCTCAAGACCTCGGGCGCAAAGTACGTCGTGGTGGAACCGGAATTGCTGGGAGGCATAAAAGCCGTGGCAGGAGACTGCGGCATCCCGGACTTCAATATCCGCATATTCAACGTCAAGGACCAAGCCGTTCCGAGCGGGTTCCTGCCGTGGTCAGAGCTCCTGCGCCATGGGGAGCGAGACTGGGATCGCTTCGACAACGAGGGGATTTGCAGCACGACACCCGCGGCGTTTCTGTTCAGTTCGGGGACTACCGGGCTCCCGAAAGCGGCGGTGGTATCACATCACAATCTCATCGCCGAGCATACTCTTGCCGTGGCGCCGGAGGTGGTTCCCTGGGAGGTAAGAGTTGATCTATCTCATGCCGATGGTGATAGAATAAAGCTCTCTCCGTGAATACAAACATCTCTAGCGGATCAAGCAAGAGACGTGTTGTTGATGAAGCCCTGCTAACCTCTAATCTAGGTCCGACGTCTTTTGTACATGCCCATGTTCCACGCCGCCATCGTGCCCATCGGCCACACGACGCCTTTCAAAACGGGCCACGAGACGTACGTGATGCGGCGGTTCGAGATGGACGAATTTCTGCGCTCGATCCAGGAATTCAAAATCACCGAGCTGTCCATCAGTCCACCGGTCGTGGTCATGGCGCTGGCAAGTCCGCTGCTCCCCCGGTACGACCTCACGTCGGTGAAGTTGTGCAGGTCTGGATCCGCGCCCCTGGGCAAAGTGCACCAGGGCGAGTTTGAGAAGCATCTGGCCCCGGACGGCGTCTTCAACCAGGTCTGGGGCATGACCGAGACGACATGTGTGGCGTCCAGGTTCTGGTATCCAGAGAATGACTCGACGGGGAGTATTGGGCGGTTTGTCTCGAACCTGGATGTGAAGTAAGTGTCATCCTTCCCTTCTTCGCAGTCAATACGCGGTAACTGACTCGAATTCTCTCAAAGGCTCGTCGATGAGGAAGGAAACGACATCACCGAGATCGGAGCCAAGGGCGAACTTTTAGTGAGAGGCCCGATCGTCACAAGAGGCTACTACAAGAACCCCGCGGCGAACAGAGACGCGTTTGACCAAGAGGGGTATTTCAAGACCGGGGACATCGTTTCCTGCGGAAGAGTCACGGAGGACAACAACGCGAGTCAGAGTCAGGTCGACGTCGGAGATAACAATACCGCCCAAACTACACAGGAGACGCTGGCCACGGTGAAATGGTACATCCACGATCGCAAGAAAGAACTGATCAAGGTGCGAGGATTCCAGGTCTCGCCTGCGGAACTGGAAAAGGTCCTCTTACAGCACCCGGCCATTGTGGACGCGGCGGTCATCGGTGTCAAGGTCTATCACGACGCCACCACTTCGTCATTGTCCTCTCGCGGCCCCGTCGACAGCGGCAAGGACGGCGAACATCCTCGCGCCTATGTGGTTCTGAGGCCCGGTAAGAGTGCAACCGAGGCGGACGTGAAGGATTGGTGTATGCAGCATTTGGCCAAGTACAAGGCTTTGACTGGCGGTGTGAGGTTCATCGACGCCCTGCCGAGGAACGCCGGCGGGAAACTCTTGAAAGGTGTCTTGAGAGAGCAGGCGTCAAAGGAATCTGGATCGAGTGCATCAGAAATCAGGGCCAAGCTTTGACTTGGTTCTCAATCACCACAGTCGGAGAATGGGGCGGTAGAGGAGTTTCTGCAGGGGTGCTTCGGACGGGGTCCCTGATGGACTTGATATAATCCACCTAGGTGGTGAACAGGGTGCAACATATTCGGCTCTTTGATGACGGAAGTGATTCTAGATTCTTGTGCGCAAGGCTCCTGGAAAAAGAGAAGGCTGGTATAGCCAATCAAAGCATCACTTTATATGGGTCCGCGGAAGCTCCGAGACCTGATCGAGTTAAATCACAGCCAAATGTGGAATCGTGTGGATCGCTTTCGTCTGTTATTGGTCGTTGTCAAAATGGCCTGCCTCCTCGTATTTTACGAACGGAATCTCAAGACTTGCATGTTCCAGCCATCGCATCCAAGAGTACTATCGGAAACCCGGTTCGGTGGCGTCTGAACGTGAGGGGTACCTGCAGGTCTGGTGTCATTTATTCTGTGAGTGAGTTCTAGCCTCGGAGCACAGTAATCAAACCATGGCGGCGTTGGTTGGAAATCGAGATCAAAGAGGGGCTCGATTCGGGCACGGCCTGGATTTCAGCAAAATTATACCCTCGTGTTTCGTAGGGTGTTTGGCTACTTGGGGAAATAATCGATCTGGGTCCATTAGTTGGTGATGATGATGAGAAAATCATACAAATTTCGGCACATGGGGGTCGATCGAGGGTTTGAGGATGCAAACAACACTCCTCCTACCAATGACTCCCAAACAGTAGATTGAGACTGAAAATTTTGCAACTTTCTGGCGGACAATAGCGTAGATTTGATTGACGATACTCCAGTCCAAGCCCATGAAAAGCGCGTCAGCCTTGTCAACAGTGCCAAGACACCAAACCACTTAAAACGCGCCTTGTTATCGATAATGAAACACGGGTGCGGAGGTCAGGGTTCATCCAGCCTCGTGTGGCTTGAGATAGCCGAGTCCACGCCCGACTGCTCCCCCCACCCAGACTGTTCCAGTGGTTCCAGTGCCTTTCCAACCACACTGATTTCACCATGGCCTCGAGAAAATAGAAAGGCAGGCTGTCTCCCAGCTGCACTCCCGCGTGTTCCATCCAACGAATTCTTCCACGTCTCTTGTCCATCACAAGCATTTGCTGCATCTGCATCGTCATCATCTTCCAACCTACCTCGTTACGTGCCAAGGTCCAGGTCACTTCGTGTGCTGCAGCCAGTGGACGGCGGGGCAAATCTCCTGCACTTGAACCAGCGGTCGTTGAGGCCACATTCGAGAACTCTGAGGAGAAATTGATGACAGGATTGACACAATTGGATGTGCAGTATTGAAGTCTGGTGCTTCTGATTTGGGCCGTCGCAATATCCGGCTGCTGAGCAAAAGAGGGGAAAACAACACTGAATTGATCTGCTGCCACGATTTCCCCGTGCGGGCCGGACCCTCTCGTCCTAGACGTGCCCATCATCCATCCAAGTTGCAGTCCAACTTGGCCAGGTCGACTTACTCACACCACAAATTAATTGCATCACCACGCCCGCTCAAATGTCTAAAGACACGTTTAATCAAGGGTTTGGTGCCCTCGCACCACCGCATCCTCGCAGATTGCCCTTTGATCACAACAACACCGACTCTTCATTATCCCTCCCTCCGCCACCCCCTGCCAGAGGCCACCAACGATCCAGAACCACCACCGACCTTCCTCCGCTTGTCACCCGCACCCAGTCTTCCTCCCCTACGAGAGCCTCTGCATTCTCCTTTCTGCGTCCTCAGAGCACGCGCTCTCTGTCACCGGAGCGACTCAGGCCTGCTGATACGGGTGACGATTTTGGTTCAATAGAGTCGCCTACGAAGAAAAGACCGGTCAAATTGGCGAACTGGTTCGAGGGGTCTTCGGAACCTGTCAATATAACTCTGGTGCCGTCGCCGCGCAAGGAAAAGTTGGATCCTCTGCTCGAGGCCTTTGCGCCTGAAGAAGCTTCCTCCACCAGTCCAGAACCTGAGGATTCTACGCTGACACGTCGCCCCCCAAAGAAGCCCAGTTTATCAGGCCCGGCCGTCTCATCAATGTCGAGGTTCAACTTCTTCCGGAGGGTTACGACAACACAGAGTGCTCCCGATGATCCAGATGAATTGGCGCAGCTTGACATCGACCATGCTCTGTTCCCGCACGGACACCCCGGTGAATTCTCCCCGGCTGCCTTCAAAAACCTCCAACTCAATGCCGAAGGGACAATACGGCGCTTGCAACAAGCCTACCGAGAACAACGACAGTCTCTGAGATCGGTCACCTCGACCAAGAATGTCCAAGCAGACGAACTCGAGGCAGCTCAGACGAGAAATGAGCATCTGAAGCTGCAGCTACATGAGATGGCAGAACGAGCTGCAGAGCAGGAGAATCTGATTGCGGATCTGAGGGCACAGCTGTCGGCACAACTATCTCTCGAGTCTCAACATCAGAGTGTCCGGATAGTGCCTCAGAACACTGACTCCAAACCTCGTCCGAAGTACCGCCGCTACCGCTCGTCTGACGTTTCTACGTCTGGGGAATCAGAGGCCGGGTCTGAAGTGAGCTCAGTGGTCAGTGTCTTCTCGGAAGCGTTGTCAACGGCTACTTCTCAGGCCACGTCTGTCGCGAGTCCGGTCTTGAAGTCTGCGAGCTTGGCCAGAGAGGATTGTTCACGGTGTCATGGATTACGACATTCGGATGCATGGGATGTTGTGGGCATGATGAAGATAGAGTCAGCGGCTCTGAAACACCGCATCGCCGAACTGGAGAGTGCACAGGACGACGCACTGGACTTTCTCAGTGGACTGAAGTTATCCTCGTGATCAATACCGAGCATTATGAGTTCAAGATACCCAGGTGTATAGGTTGCTATGTATAGGTTGCACAGATTGCTGTGTATTATGCAGATTATGTTGTATAACCAGAGATTCCATTCAGCTTTTTGGTAGATATACTGGAGTACCTCGTACAAACCTGCCATTGTCGTAACACTTGATCTCGTGTATCAGAGCAACATGCGATTCTGGCTCGTCTGCTCCAGTGAGGCTGAGTCTTGTTATTGGTGTCAAAGGAACGAGGCTGGAATGTGTGCACTGCCCTCCATTACGGATTTCCCCAGCCACCGAAACCAGCCACTTGATGCCTGGACCAACATCCAATCCACTCCCTGAAGTCCTCGATCTTCAGCTTTGAATTTGTTTACGCAGTACCTTTCGCCTGACACTACCACACTACAGGGGCTGCGCAATTGCATCTTCAACTTGTCACTTGATGCCAGTGACAAAGGTAAAAAAAATGTCAATCATTCAAAAGTGCTGCTTGACAAACTGACTGCGAGTCTACACACATACACACATTTCCTTTCCCAAGTCATTCTTATTCGTTCGCTGGCACTCCAATACTAATCCGTCAAGAAAAAGCCATGTCCTTCAGCGGGAGGACACCCGAATCCCTTCTCCCGCGATCAGACTCGAGAAACCCCGCGACGACGTGTAGAGGCATCACCACCACCGGAAGACCCTGTCGCAGACCTCTCGCGGCCTCTTCTCCCAAGAACTCGCCCACGCCGTCACCGAGTCGGGGCAACGGGGTCCTCGCCGTGTTGGCAGAGCAGCATGCCGCGGCTTTCTACTGCTGGCAGCACAAGGACCAGGCCGAGCAGTTGGCAGCCCAGGCCGGGCGGACAAGTCTACACCCGTTGAAAGAGAGGTCGAGCATCGAAACACTGATTGAGCAGGTGGGCATACTCGAGCTGGACGAGGATGTGGCCCGGAGACACCATCGACGACGGGAGCCGGAGACTGTCAGGCGTCGGGACACGTTGCCGTCGGGTTGGAACCAGATGGAGAGTCCGTTGATGACCGTGCCGGAGGGGGTGGTCCATGACAGAAGACGACCAAAACGACGACCGCCTCCACCACCACCTGCGCAGTCGAACGTGAAGCTCTCTTGGGCTTGCTGTATTCAAGCCGATCACGACGATGATCTGCCTCCTGCGAGGGTTCGAAGACAAGAAGATTGGGAGGAGAGGCGTCCTCGTCCTCGACCTCGACCTCACACCGACACGAGCCGGCCATCGCCTGCACGACCCGAAATGCAACAATCGTCTCCCCTGGCGGCGACACGACCGAAACCGAGTCCCGCGCCCTCCCAGACCCAGACACTCCTGTCGCTCATCCCGTCCAGTCTCTCACCCCAGACCACCTCGCAATTACTCGCGGAGCTGTCCCGCCCGATCTCGGCCGCGGACGAGGCTGGATACATCTACATATTCTGGCTGACGCCCGAATCCGAGGTGTCCAAACCCGACGACGAGACGGCTTCGTCCCTTTTAGACGATGACGACGACCTCGACGACAACACGGGTCTACACGGCCGCAGCAGCTCGCAGAGAACTACCCAGGCGCTTGCCCGCTACGCGTCGGTCCGCCGTCCGCCCAACCAAGTGCATGCCAAACGGACCATCACGCTCAAGATTGGCCGCGCTGCCAATGTCCACCGACGCATGACCCAATGGACGAAGCAGTGCGGGCAGAACATCACATTGATTCGATATTATCCGCACAACAATAACAAGAACAGCGCGCATGCTCCTTCTGGTCGTCGTCCACCTCATCCTACACCCGCCAGCGCGTCTCCCGAGACCCGCAGCGCCAAAGTCTCGCACGTCCACAAGGTCGAACGGCTCATCCACCTGGAACTCTCGGAGAAGAGGGCCGTCAAGAGCGGGTGCGAGCAATGCGGCCGCGAGCACAAGGAGTGGTTCGAGATCGAGGCCACGCGCCAAGGCCTGAGAGGTGTGGACGAGGTCGTCAGACGGTGGGTGGCATGGGCCGAGAGACAGTGACCAAAAAAAAAAAAAAAAAACATGAACCATAAAAACAGGGCAGCCAGCAAGCAATCAACAAGCAACCAGTGCAGCGCCTTTGTTTTTCTCGTTTTCGTTTTTTCTTCCTACGCCCCTTTAGACACGACTTTACCTAACGAATTGAAATGATCCATGCATGTGGAATAAAATGGATTTCACGTTTTCGTTCGGCGCGTCCGCGTCTGTCGAACAGGATAAAGGATAAAGATAAGGATACAACCTCGATCTAGATATCCATAATGAAATGGAAAAAAACCCATCACTCCCGATTGACAGCGTCCATGTGTATGTCCATGTGATAAGTGCCTGAGAGAACAGTACGGGCGATGAGAAAGAGAGAGAGAGAGCACGAGTGATACAAAATCAACAACCTTGGAGGACAAAACAAGAAAAGAGATGCCCAGAAAGAGAAGAAAGAAGGAATAATAGGTAGTAGATTGTAGATTGCCGTTGACATGGTTCTTTTCCCCCTTTGTCTCTTCTCCCTCAGACCATGCCCATGTCCATGAAATAACTATACCAAGTACAGATCCATCATGTTGATGTTGTTGTCCTGGATGATCGATGTGATACATGTCCTTCCAATTGATGTCTTTCCGTCAGGAGGTAGGTGTGTCTCCGTACGCGTCGCGACAAGGCATCCAACGTCAACAATGATGCCGCGTACAGATATATCAGGTGGTTGTTGTCCTGGACGATTGAGGTTGCGGGAGGTGTCGGATAGCTATCTAACAACGGCAAGGCAGGTCCAGTTGCGAGAGGTGTTGGAGACCTCTCGAGTGGCGATGTAGAGACCTGCGGAGGTTCTGTCCTCGGTTGAACACGGCCACAATCGGCTGACATCTCGACATCTCCATCCTCTGAGAGTGTAGACGGGAACATCAGGCTGAGGTTCGGAATCCCTCTGCCCACATCCTTCAGCCTCTAGGGCTGCTGATGCTGGTGATGTCGTCGACGCGCAGGGAGAAAGAGAGCCTCCGCCTCCACCTCCGCCGGAGCAGGAGGTCCGCCCAAAGAATTGACCTTTTGTTGTCCGGGTTCCTGACGCCTTGGAGCACGTCGTTGGAAGCCGCAGCTTTCTAAACACCGCACACCGCATGACATGATGGTGACAGCAGCCAGAGTCACCGCATGCCTTCCAATACCCTCGAGTCAGAAAGACAGAATCCGGACCAGGAAGGACGCGCAAAGCCAGCGAAACACCAGTAATCGTTTGCTCAGACAGTGCTTTTGTAAACCTTTTCTGGCATCGGCCCAAGATACGGACAAACCGTGACATAGACAGTCGTCTGCCTTGGTCATCTTCACCCGCCACGCCGACGCCAACAATATTTACAGAAAGACCGAGGCACAGACAGTCATCTGCCCACCGTCGTTGATGCCAGCCCTGCTGACCTTCAATACCAGATGCCCAAATGTCCATACTGTGATCCTCTTCAAGTGCTTCTTCCTTGAGCCACTTCCCAGCATACTGACTCTCTTCCCAATCTGCGTGACAAGTCCTAGACCAACTTTTGGAAACCCCCGTTGCCAGCAGGTCTCGCGGGTCCGTAGTGAAAACAGGACATTCTTTCTTTGAACCATCGTTTGTGGATGTGGATTTTGGGTCTGGCGCAAGACAATCGGTCCCGAAATCGAGACTACATAACAGTGTGAGCGGTAGGCCGTTGGGTTCACGCTTAGGTCCTGGCCCTTTCATCTCGAGGTTTGGTGTGGAGCAGTTTGGTCTCAGGAGAAGCGAACCGCGGTAAGCTCTTGTGCGAGTGACCAAGGCTCTGATGATCGCAGAGACGGTCAGGACGTGTGGAGTTTCGCTCCGTCCCTGTGTCTGTCACTTCTCTGTGAGGGGAGAGGTAGACGCTCAAAATGTTGGTGTAATGTGCTGGGGTATCTTGCTTTTCAGATACCGTGTTGCGTCAACGAAGACGCCAGACACTGTTCGCGTACGCTCATCCATGGCTGGTCAGGTCGTCACGTTCTCTGGCTCACTGCTCCTTCGAGGTCAAATCGACTGCGGCTGGTCTTGCGAGTAGACAAACAGGTGCTGGAGTGAAAGCGACAAGATGCTCCACAGGTTTCGATCCACAACAACAACCCTTCAAGAAGCTGCAGCGGTTGCGCATTGACGGCGGAGAGATACCTCGTATTTCGGCGGGAGCCAGTCCCGCAGCTTAGTTTGATGCGCTCCCCCAGTGTTGGCTCTGCTCCAGATTCCAGAGGTCGGCCACGACCCAGACCTTGTGACCTGTCACCTCGCAAACACCACAAAGATATCTCGGCGGCAGTGAAAGCGGCAGTGAAATCTTTCTGTCTCGTGGCCATAGAGCGTAAGTAAGTCACGGCCAGGTAGAGAAGCCAATCAGTCATAAAATCTGGGGACGATAAGGTGGATTGTGGGAGCGCCGACACTGTTCACAAGGCCAGGACAGAGCCCAATGAGGTCCTAGGCATATTGAGACTCGACCGAGGGAGAAGTAGTTTGCGAATTGAACGGCTCGATTGCGGTGTCCCACAGTGCCCGGCGGATCCGTACAAGGGCTTTTGAAAGCTGTGCAGGCGAAACTTGATCGATCAAGCCGACGCGGTCCTCCAGCGCGGTGAGAACGAGTCGGCATAGCACCACAGCAAAAGAAATTCGGTGTGTATATATATAAAGGGGCGTTGGTCTGGCGCGTGTCTAGGACAAAATCGTCATCGTTGTTGGCTGTATGACAGCCCAGCAGTAATCCGGCCTGTGACTTGTGCTCGAGCGGCAGTCTGAAGATCCAGGGGTCGCGGAACAACAGAAGTGTGGAAACTTGTCTCGAGACAATAGTCTGATTCGGTGTCAACGGACGAGGGAGTCTATGCAGCAAGAAACCCAAAGAAGCCGTCTCTCGCAACTACCCTGAGGCTCAAAGTTGAGGTGCTGGGAGATCCATCCCTCCAGATGATGATAGACCTGCCATGGCTCGATTTGCTGCAAATGTGAATCAGCTTCTGTCACAAGTGGAGAAATAGGGAGGTCACTCACCTTCACGAAGAGACCAGGCTGGTTGTTGACGCTCGGGACCGAAAGCATCCGTGTGAAGCTCGCTGTTGTCATGAGGCACGAGGACATCAAAGAAATGTTTAGCCTCCAGCTCCATCATGAGCTAGAGTAGGGAGATCACACTGTGTCATGTCACAAGGCTGAGAGATGAAGGACGACCACCGGCCACTCCAGAAATTGAGATGTCTCCAATGTATATGAAAATCACAGACCCCCGGGCAGGCAACAGTCGTGCTTGATGGTCGAAGGGCGGTGAAGCGTAGTCGACGTTGAAACCTGGATTTGTTTGATCGACTCCTCCAGGTGCGGCCATCCGTGGTCGACGTCGAAATCAGCAAACATTGCTCAGCTCACTTCAGCCTCTCGAGCAGCGAGATTGGACCCGGAAAGGCTGGATCTGTAGCACAGGAATCGTCATTCATTACGCTGAACGCAGCAGCCTTGCCCCAAAAGCCAATCACATATTCTTCTTCCACATATGTACCCAACTCTTCCAAAACGCCACCTCATAGCCCGGCCGGTTAACCACTTGCCTGTGTCTCATTCCCATCTCCTTGTGTGGATGTGGTGGGGTTCGAATGCCGCGAGCTGCTGGCCTCGCTGGGAGTTTGTGTCAGGATGTTCTGGTCTTTCTTCCCTCGCCTGCCCAGTTTTGCACTCTTGGAGCTGGAATTGCTCGTCAATTTGGACAGAATTGAATCGCTCTCCCCCTTGTCCGATGACCCACTGACGACGCTTGACCGCGTGTCGACCATCTTCAGCTCAGGTTTCATCTCGTTCCACTTCCTGATCACCTCCGCCTTCTCCTCCTCGGTTGCCTTGCCCACCGCCTCAAACCCTTCGACATACCTCGTGGCAAGGATGTAACTCAATGTGGGATCCCCGTTCAATTTCTTCTTGATCACTTCGTACAACACTCTGACTCCGAATGTGGCGTGGCCAACCACCAGTCCTCTGGGGGAAAACAACAAATTCCCAATACCCCTCCCCAAGCCTTTGCCAAACCCTTTCCAGCCGTGGGATTTGGCGCCCTTGTAGGGTTCGTAGACCACTCCTGCCCACGCCTTTGCGATATTGATGGGGGCATGCACAATTCTAGAAGTGATGGATCCCACGGTGCTCAGCATCGGATTGGGCCCGACGACATGAGAACTGATAGACCCAAATTCGACGGGATATTCGCAGGGGCGGTAGATTGTAAGCTGATTCACGTCCAACAAGCCTTCGTTGCCCAACACTGTAGCCGCGAAAGCGCTCAATCGGAGATCTTCCGTGTTGGATCCTTTGGTCCGGACTGACCACACCGCTGGTCGTGAGGGCGCCAGCATACAGCGGAGGCGGTCAAGGTCCATTTGTGCGTGGAAACTCGCCGCGCCGACTTCAGTGCCCTTTTCTTCTTTGATGCGCTCACCTAATTCACGTGCCCGCTCCAAGGTCTCGGGCTTTAGCGCCTCTAGGATGGCGTCCGCAAGTCGGTCTGCTGTCAGCTCCTTGTATGGGACTGGCATCGGTCCCGCACCGGCCCTGGCAACCATGGCTCCCCAGAATGGCTGGTCGCCAAAGAAGGGGACGATGACCGTTGGACGGCCCAAGGCAATTCCAGCGGCGGTCGTGCCAGCGCCGCCGTGATGTACCACACAAGATACGTGTTGGAATAGCCAGTCATGTGGTACATTGCCCAGCATATACACGTTATCAGGTTTGCCCATGTCGTCTCCCCCTAGCCCACCCCATCCCTTGGAGACCAAAGCACGTTGGCCTGTCTTCTTGACCGCATCGAAGATGAGTTTCGTCATGGCGTTGGGATCGTCTACAACGATGGAACCGAAGCCGATGTAAACAGGCGGTGGTCCTGCTGCGAGGAATTCGGCGAGGGTTGGGTCTGGTTGGTAATTCGACGCCAACGAGAGGAAGTAGAAGCCTGCGATGGTGATGTGAGGGCCCCAGTCTTTGGGCTTTGGAATCAGTGCTGGAGACCTGGTTACCGCCTCGTCAATCGAGGGCTCTTTTTGGTTTCCTGGACGCTCAAGAGGTTTGACAGACTCACCAGCAATAGGTATAGGGTATGCGTAAACGATGAAGCATGTCCGTTGCTGCCGCCTGAGAAAGCATATGCAATCCCAGAGTCTCTGTTCTGAAGTTGTTCGTGATGTCTCCCAGACCTTCCCAGGTCATCATGTCGACGAGGGTATAGCTCATTTCGTTGGTCATGCTTCCGCTAGCCTTTGACGATTTGATGTTTGCGATGGGCTGTGGAAACTCTCGAGTCGGCGACCAGGGCATCCTACCGTCGAACGTTCTTCAGCTATTAGGCCGCGCCGTGGACGCGTCTTGACTTACGTGAACATCAAATGCAACGGAATGCCCAACTTCTCAGCGCAGTGGATATGTGCAAAACTGGGTGGGTTGGCAATGATGGCGTGCGCGACGAACGGTTGCTTCTTGGGCGCTGCTGTCGAGACGGTCTCTTCGTCTGCTTTCACCTCGTCAAAGTCGGCGCATGACCTCCAACACCCTTGCAGGATCTCAGCCATGCCTCTGCGTCGCTTGCCCACGTCACCCTCCTTGATGGATTTCATCCCGGGGATTAGGCCGGGGTTCTTGACCATAAAGGCCATGAGTTCTGCGGGGTCTCCACCAATATCGAAGAACTCCAGCCCGTTCTCCTCGACGAATTTCTTGAATGTCCCGTGGGTCGCGAGGCGGACGCGGTGGCCGTACTGCTTCTTCAAGACCAGCCCCAATGCGACAAAGGGCTGGACGTCACCGCGCGACCCCACGACTTGAACGACGACATTGAGCGGTGGAGGGATTCTCGAGGGTCGGTGACTCGCCTCTAAAAGACTATGGGCGGTCTGGGGAGGTGCGGCGAGTCCCTCTTGGATTCGGGACAGCTGCAGTTGCTCGATCTGCTGGGCGAGGAGTTCGTTGATTTCTTGGATGGTGATGTTGACTCGACCGTCGTCTGTGAGTCGCCGTCAAGTCATGCTGCTGCGAAAGAATGGACCGGCAGAACAACTAACCTCCTACTTTGGTTTGCGTGGTGACTCCATCTCGTTGCTCCTCGAGATTCGCCGCTGCATCGGGCGTTGGGGGTTGTTTCTTCACGTCGGACGACATGTCCTCACTCGCTCATTCAACTTTAGACTTGCTGAAGAGGCTGGATATTGTCGAGCCGCCGCGTGCGTCTCCTGTCATGAGAAGGCTGTTGCAAGCCGAGAGACGACCATCGTTCGCTGCTCCATCCTCGTAAAAGGAAATTGTTTCGAGGATCCCCTGTAAGTCCACATCAAAGAACAGGAGGCGATAAGAAGCGGGAGTTGGAGGGGCAGCGCAGGCCCGGGGAGGTGGCACTCTGGCTATGATGGCCTGTTGTGATCTGCACCGGCGCCCATGATTTAGCCAGCGATCCCTATTGCGTCAGGCCTTGGCTGGTCGGTCTCCATCTGCGGTCCAGGGCATTTCTGTTCCCCCCCAATAACCATCCCGAACGATGCGAAGCTAACCAGACGAAACGATTCCAGTGCCTGAATTACATTGCTTGATTGGGCTCTACGAAAGCTTGATCCTGGGATCCCTGGCTGAATCAGCATCGCGGCACCGCGCATTGATGGAAAATTGGCCAACTAACGGTGAGCCGCAGTTCTTCCTCGAGCCTGATTGAGCATGGAGCGCGAATACGAGCGAGAGCGAGATTGAGACAAACACACCGCTTACACTCCACCGCCGACCACCCCTACATCGTATCCAAGAACATCAGGTGTGACAACAGGGGGGAGGTCATCAGATGGTATGAGCAACAGCATGAGACAAAATGCCGCCAGCAGAATTGCATTGCATTTGAAATAGATTTGTGATCAAGATACATTTCAACAAGAATATCCTTCAGGAAGAATCAGACCAAAGCCCTCCCGAATTGTTGTCAATAACTCAACTTCTCACCACCACCCTCCTTTTGTTCTTCCGGCGGAAACACCTCGTCCAGATACTTCAACAGACTGACTTGGGCCATGTTAGCGTGCACATTCATGCCCAGCCTTTCGGTCAACTCGGGCGACAGTTCCTTCTTGACGTCCTCGGGCATCTTGGCCGCCCAATTGACCTGCTGCCGCAGGAACGGCACGGTGTAGTATCCGAAAAGCAACGCTCGGTCCTTGTCCTTGGTCACGTTGGCCCCCGAAGTGTGCCAGACGCGGCCGTTCATGAGCACGATGCTGCCGGCCTTGGCCTCAAATGGCTTCAGCAGCGAGCGCGCGTTCGAGGGAATGTCCTCGCGGGTGGTCCACTTGTCGCTGCCGGGGATGAAGAGCGTGGCGCCGTTCTCGAGGTAGACGTCTTCCAGACACCAAATGACGTTCAGGGCCCACGTCGACGTCCACGGCTCGGGCATCACCAGGGACTGGTCGCTGTGCAGGGCCATGCTCTTGGACCCGGGCCGCGCAATGTTGGCCGTGAAGTTGCTGATCAGCCAGTTGTCGCCCAGCACCTTCTCGACCATCTCCACCGCGACGGGATGCTGGACCAGGTCGCGGAAGATCTTGTCGAGTGCCATGAGGTAGAAGACGCGGATGTTGGCCGCATTCGGGTCCAGCATCGGCATGTACGTGTCGTCGCCCAGCTTGCGGAACTTGTCGGCCGCCGCCCATAACTGCGACAGCACGCGCGAGTTTTCTTCGGGCGTGAGCACGTCGGGGATCACGGCCCAGCCATGGTCCTGGAGGTGTTGTTGCGCGGCTGCGACGGTCGACTCGGGTGTATGCGAGGCAAACTGATTGTCGGATGAGTTTGTCGTGGTGCCCAGGGACCCCATCTTGTCTGTTGTTTCCTCGTATAAAGCTAGCCTCTGGTGGCCTCTCTCGATCTCCCGCCCGACAAACGTAAAGACGACTATCTACACCGTTACAACGTGGTGCAGTCAGTCACTCAGTATGTCACTCAGCAAGTCAATCAGTGAGTTTGTACGGCTTGTTGTCGCCTCTCGTCCGTCCTTTCCGGTCGAGGTATTGTTATATTCAGGTGTGCAGATTCCAAAAAGGAGCCTGGAGCAAAACGGCCCATTTATGTATTGCCCTCGAGCATTGCATCCAAAACCAGGACCGCCAAAACCCCCTTAGTGAGCATCAATCATGTTGTCTCCCTCTCCCCCTCCGCCTCCTCCTCCCCCCCGCATCTCCCAGCTCGATTGTGGTCAGTCCACGGCCGTCCAAAGTTATTACTCGCCTCCCTCCAGTCCGGATATCCCCATGGGGCAGGATCGGCTTGGTCCTCGGTTGAACCAACATGGCCACCCAGCCAATTCCGCTGCGAGTGTCCCGGGAGCAGAGTCGGTGACTAAGAAAATATTGACTGGATGAAATCACATCTACTGCATCCGCAAACGTCCCACGCACAACCACAAACTTGTTGGCTAAGGGAATGTCGACTAAGACTCGCAATGAGTACGATTTTGCCATGTATCTATCCACATGAGGGTATACATGCCGAGACAAATCAGAGATTAATGCCATCTCTTCAACCCCCCAAACTTCAACGGGTTCGCAGTGTCTTTCAATGGACCTGGATTGACCCTCCACCACCCCAGCAGAGTCTAGGAGCATTAGCTTCTTTCTTTGACACAAAAGATGTGCTGTTCGGCCCTGTAATTCAAACTTTCCAGTGTCTCTCGCATCAACCTGAAGTATCCAGCCATCCAACGCGCCCCGCCATGCTTGCCAACGCAATGCAAAGAGGGCCAATGTAACCCCCGCCCAATGATCGCTAAAGAACACAGAATCGTTGGCTCTCGGCCTCTTAGGAGAAGACTACATGCGACCCCATGCACTACCAAAGTTGACGCTATTTCTCATTCTTAACCTTGGCATGTCATCGTCATTAGCAGAAGATTCTCTTGGTTGCTCGCTTACGGTGTGCTCGTCGTTGCCGCTTGACAGACTGGACTCGGCCTTGTCCTGGTGTTGTTTCTCCTCAATGAGTCTACCATCGAGAATATTCAAGAATGCAGCCGATTCCACCGTCTTAGCGTTGGGGTCCAGCATGAGTGGTCCTCGTAGAGAAGGATCATCATGTGTCTCATAAACCGGCTCCAGCTCCGGCAGCTCTTCTATAATCTGATTCTCCTTTTCCTTGTCGTTGGGGGCGGAAGTGAACGAAAAGTAAGAGTCAGAGTCTCCGAAGGGCGCAGAGGTGGACGCGTGGTGGGGGCGGGAGCAAGCGGTTCTTCTTGCTTTGGAGTCAACACACTGCTCGCAGCGTCCGAGGAAAGGGTGCCATCAAAAGCCATGGGTGTGTGTCCGGCATGTCGCTTCAACTTTTCATCCAGCGGCGAGATGAGAGAGTTGACGTCCAGTCTGAGAGAGTCCTCTTTGGTAGGTTGTGGTACAGGGGACAGCGCGGGACTAGCAAACTGCGGACTGGTGATCTCCTTGTCGAACGACGAGGTCAAGGCCGCCGACTTGAGGGTAATGCCGTCCAGGGTTTTGTCGACCTGTTCGATCGGTATCGGGATATTCTCTTGGCCGCCAGAGGTGGGTGAGACCTCCTTGGACAAGGGAGGCAGGGCTTCATCCTCGGAAATGCTTGGGAGATGGGACACTTCGTCCTCGCTGGCAAACACCCTGGTTACCGGAGGAGTGGATTCGGGACCTCGCCAGACTGGTGGTTCTGCAATGGTGGGTTCGGGAGAGATGCGAGAGCGGTGTTTGCCATTGATACCAAAAGGTTGAAAGTCCGTTTTGAACGAGCGAAGACTTGTCGCCGACGAGTCGTTGCTTGATCTCCTCTTAGGGTCTCTGTTCTTGTTGAGTTTTCGCTCCAATTCGGCTATCCGTGCTTTGAGAGCGGTCCGTTCAATATCCCAGGCTTTTCGCTCGCTTTCGTGAGATTGTCTGAGCTGCGTATTCCACAACCGGCATTGCTCCATATAGGCCGTGATGTCCACTTCAGGCGTGGGATTGGTCATTTGAAAACCATGCTTCGGCAGTTGACTCGCAGAAGATATTGGGGGGAGTAGTGGCACATTTGTGCCGGCTATCGAGTGACGGCCTTTGGCTGGCATCGTGGGAGGATCTGAGAAGCGCACCGCCCTGAATTCAAGGGACGAGCTCATTGTACGGGTTTGATTGAGAGGAGAAAAGTTTTCTGGGTCATGCTCGAGCGCTGGGGTAGGATCGAAGGCTTGGGTGGGAGATCGGGGAGCCATCTGTGGGCAGGGACGATTCCTGGCTGAGGAGGATGACGTTTCAAGCTAGCTATCGTCGTCCGAGCACCGTCGATGTGTTGCCCAAATGAGTGTATGTAGAGTTGGCGTCGTGGGCGAAGAATAACAAAAAGCTATGAGGATGACGTCTGAGATGGACGAGTGCCGAGGCCTAGAAACGAGATGACAGGCAAATGCAGTCAAAAATATAAACAAGATTGCGGATGCGGACGTGACAATATTGTTGATAGGGATGTTGACGACAAGTACATGGAGTCGTAGAAAGGGAGTTCAAGTGGGAGAAGATGAGAGAGTGTGTGAAGTAAGTAGGAGCCCAGCGAGTGTGAGGTTGAGAATTGTGGGCAGTAGCGACAGGTGTTGAATCTCGCAGGCAGAATGACTTTGAGGCGGAGGCAGTTTGTCGCAGCCTCGAATGGTGCAGGCGTATGTACCTCGTAGGGACTTCAATGGAGAATTAGATAGGAGACCTGTGTACCATGTACAGGTGTCTGCTGGAAAAAGAGTGGATTGAGAGCGATAAACAAAACACCTCGTGGCATCCTCTTCGTCTCGCCTCTTTTTTTTTGATGGATGACGTTGGTCCGTGCCTGAAGCCGAGATGGAGTGGATTGTGTGTTTGTGTGTGTGTGTGCGGTGGCTTTTTTTGGGGGAGAAGAGGGGGAGAACGGGAGAAAGGGACTGGGCACAAACTGGATGACTGGGTCACTTTGGATCTGCCATCTAGGTGTCATCCACCATTAGCAGGGGGGAGGGTGAGAGAAATTTTGGAGCTTGGGCGTAATGGGATGGGCGGTGATGGGACTGACTACAAGTAGCTAGGCGTGCTAAGTTCAGATGGCGGCTGTGATCTGCGAGGGTACAACCTGGCTCCATCTGCTCCGAAAAGGGCCAACGGGGGAACAAACAGGAGGTCAACGGCAGGGCTTCAGGGTCAAGGCCTCAAGGGACCAACGGGAAGACCCCGATGGGGTTCCACTGGGCGTCAGGGTCCAGCATAGTACAGTGACCAGAGTGCCCACAGTTCTCCATTCGGGGCGCCGCTAAAGCCACCGTCTCGGGCACCAAAGCCCCGAGGAACCTCTGTTAGGGGGCTGCTACAACAGTGCTCAGGGTCTGCCAGCGAATTTCTGGGAACTGCCGATTAGTGGCCGCACTAGCTGCATGCAAGCGACGACTTGGACAGTACGAGTACGGAGAGCAGAGTTGACGAAGAGGCGGAGAAGGTTTTCATTTCATTTCTTTTTCTCGTTCCTTGATCAAAATCCACTTTTTCATGTTGTTGACCGAATGGTGATGGCGGTGAAGATCGGAATCTCAGGCTGTGGCTCCTCAAAGGGACACGCGATATACATCCCAAAAGGGAAAGAGGCAGGCAGAGAGCCAATTTGTCAGCACCACGAGTCCACGACCACCACATTCGTGACCAACACAAGTAGATGCCACGACTACCAGAGAGATGAAGACAACTGGTTGACTGTCGAGCACAGAATCGCACAAGAGAGTCCTGGTCACTCAGGTTTGCCGGTGGCTTTTTTGCCAACTCATCACCCGCCGCTTTACTCTCGCACTAACAACTACTTACGAACAGTCAAATTGCCCTCTTCTCAGTAGTTTTCTTAATTGCTGGAAACCTGGACATATCTTGGCTCATGTCCAACGCCTCCACACGTCTGGCATAGAGATGGTCTTTCTAGGACAGCTCAAGGACGTAGTTTTGGACAAGGGGTCTTTCTCTGCTTCAACGCTCACTTGAAATGCTGTGTTGATGGACACATACATCCCAAACAGCGAAGCTTGTCTATTTGGGAAATTTCGAAGGATACCACATCTCCGTTGAGATGCTTTCAGCTCGTCGTTGCCCTGACTTGGTTCCGCCGTCCCTCTCTCGGAGAATGGACGGGAGACTTGTGAAGACAACACTGGCCCAGCACACCAGCAACAAAAAGGATTTGTGGCGGAAATGTTTACAAAGAACCCAACACCTAAGGAATTATGACTAGTTCGAGGCCTGTCTGTACCTCGGATTGTCAACCTGGACAAGTTCACCCCCTCAAATCCGACACGAAAGCGGAATTCCCGATCTGGAAATGTGGATCCGTATAACCCGAGGAACGGAGAATGGTGAGGGTTGATATGGATGGTTGAAGATATGCTTGTTAGGAGCTGTCAAATGGTTCTTTTGCTTGTCAAGTCTTTATTACCAACCACATATCTGAGCCAACTCACAAATATTGCCAGTGCCAAAGTCTCTGCCAAACACCATGATTGCCGCCAACGAAACGCAGACCGACTGGTCGGCACCCAGCCAAAAGTCCATCGACGATGATCGCCCGATCAAAGTGATTTGTATAGGAGCAGGCATCTCTGGCATGCTCACAGCCATCCGATTTCCTCAGAAGATCAAGAATCTAGACCTTGTCATCTACGACAAATCCGACGACATTGGAGGAACGTGGCACGAGAATCGGTATAGTCAACCTCTAAGTCCTTAGTGTTATCTATATACGCTTTTCCACGCTGTGAGGTCCTAACAGACATGTTTTTTGTAGATACCCTGGTGTGGCCTGTGACATTCCTGCCCACAGTTACCAATTCACATTTGCAAACAACCTCAACTGGAGTTCTTTCTACGCCGCGGGCCCTGAGATCCATCGCTACCTGAAGAATGTAGCTCGTCGATACGATGTCGAGCGATACGTCAAACTCCGACATCTTTTCCTTGGAGCCCGGTGGCAGGCAGCGGATGGAAAATGGGAGGTGGAGATTGAAGATCTCGAGAGTGGAAGAGTATGTAACAACTTTTTTTGGCCCAGAACTACATACGACATAACGTTCACATGTGGCTGACAAAAGAAACCCGCAGAAATTCACCGACCGGGCAGACATCTTGATCAGAGCTACCGGAATTCTCAATCGGTGGGAGTGGCCAGACATTCCAGGCCTTCGCGATTTCAAAGGGACTCTCCTACACTCGGCGGATCGAAAGAGCTGGGAGACTCCGCTAGACCCCAAGGGGAAAAGAATAGCTGTCATTGGGGGTGGCTCGTCGGGAATCCAGATTGTGCCTCAGCTCCAGCCCACGGCGGCTCGGATTGACCATTACATGAAGGGCAAGACATGGGTGTCGCCCGTTGGTTACGGATCCGACAAATCCAACCGGGGAGTGACGGATAACTGTAAGTCTCTCTCTCCCCCCCTCTTTTGAGGGCCAGAAGATCTGGTAGCACAAGACTACCCAAGATAGACACTAATTTGCATCTCCAGATAAATATTCAGAGGACGAGCTCAGGACGTACCGCGAGAATCCCGAAGAGTACATCAGATACCGGCGGGAAATCGAACGGATCATGAACGCCAAACCCGAGATCCTGTTCAAGGGCACCGAGGAGCAAAAGGCCTTCTTCGCGCTCAACGACGAGTCGATGAAGCAGAAGCTCTCCAAGAAGCCACACATATACGAGAGCCTGAGGCCGGACTTTTCGCCCTTTTGCCGCCGGCTCACGCCCGGTCCGGGCTTCTTGGAGGCGCTGGTCGAGGACAACGTCGAATTTATCGGCTGTGGCATCGAGACCGTGGTGGAGAATGGTATCAAGGCCAACGATGGCAAGGTGCGCGAGGTGGACGTGATCATCTGTGCCACAGGCTACGATACGTATGTCGTTGTCGTTGTTGTTGTTGCCCTCATCTTCTTCCTCTGACCGACTGACCGGGTGCGCAGATCCATGGAAAATGAACCACCCATCGTCGGACTCGACGGCAAGACCCTCGCCGATATGTGGAATCCCGACCCTCAGGCCTATCTCTCGATCTGTGTGCCGAAGATGCCCAACTTTTTCATCTTCTTTGGCCCGAATGGCGGCGCTGGGTCCGGGTCGGCAATCCCCTTTCTCGAGTCGGTGACGCTCTACCTCGTCAAACTGGTGCAGAAGATCCAGCGAGAGTACATCAAATCTATGGTCGTCACGTACGTTGCGAAAAGGCTCCCTCAATCCCCCTTTCCCTCTTTTTTGGGTTGGATCTTGACTCATTGTAACCATGCGTTGGGACCTAGAACAAGTACATTATGACTGACCTTGTTTGCTTGTGATTCATAGTGAAAAAGCCACCAGCGACTTTGTCAAACACGTCGACGAGTACTTTTCCAAGACAGTTTTTACCGAGACGGTACGTTCGAAACGAACTCTTTTTTTTTGGTTTATTGTTTATTACATACCCCTTGTCTCTTCCATTTCCTTCCCTTTCCCGCCGCTTCCCTGCTAAACAATACTGACAAAAACCGCCAGTGCAAATCGTGGTTCAAGCGCAACAAGCAAAACGGGCGCGTCACGGCCCTCTGGCCCGGCGCGTCGATCCACACGCAAAAGGCGCTGGAAAACCCGCGCTACGAAGACTTTACATACGAATACCTCGACGCCCTGGGCTCCAACACCATGGCGTGGTTGGGCAACGGGACGACCGTGGCGCAGGTCAGCGGGGAGGACACCACAGAGTATCTGGTCGACAATGACGTTCCGCCGCCGATTGTGGAGGGGGTGCATGAATGGGATAACTAACAGATTGTTGTAGTTGACTTGTTCTGCAGGCTGGTGGTCGGAGAGCGCGTCGAGAATTTACTTGACTTTCTTTACTTGTATACAGATGGGCCGCTTCTTTGACCAAAGGAACCGACTTTATAGTTCTTGTATGCGGAAACAATAAATAACCACATACCGTTTTCTACGAGTATACCTACCCAAGTCCCGTGGTGTTTGACGGTCCAGCAAAATCAGGAAATTATAGTCACACCGGTCCTTGTCCCAGACCTCAAAGACGAAATCCCGTGTTCGAGGCATTTGCAATTTGCCTACTCGTATTCCGCCGCCCAATTGACCCCTGTCCGACCATCCTGAGGTATTCCGACGCCACTAATTCGTCTGTTGTCGGTGCGTCGTAATGCTGCTGAGGTGCTCGCACTGTCTCAGGGCGAGAATGGTTTGATCGAGTGGTGCTGGAACTGTTGGTAGAGCAAAAAGTCCTACTTCGTAATGCACTGGTTACATCGAGAAGCAAGAGCAGAAACAGGGAAAAAAGAGGGTTAGGGGAATGACAATTGCCTGTATATTGTATACTGTATCTGGTTCCTGATTCCTGGTTTACATACGTACACTCTGAACAGAACGGGGGGTGGGATTCCCAGGTTTTGTGGCCTGATGATGCAGCCTAATCTTCCATCTCGAAAAGTGGTGACCATCTTCACTCTTCCAACAATCCACCGCATTTGTGGCAAGGGCGAGAAATTGCCTGCCTGACTTAGGGTGAATACTCATGCTGAGTGTGTGAGGGCTCAGCATTCTTTTTCTCATCTCCTTGAGCTGTCATGACCACGGCCTCGGCGTCGTCCACTTTGACAACGTGCCTGTGGTGGGCCAACTTCTCTTCAAGCTCGGCGCGATGCGACGGTTTGGCGTAGAGGTAGTCGATTTCTTCCAGAGTGAGGCCCTTGGTCTCCTTGACGAAGAGGTAGATGAAGACGACCTGCAAGACGTTGCCGATGCAGAAGAGAAGATAGAATTTCCATCCGGCGTGCGTGATGCCAATTGGGCCAACCTGTGAAGAGAATGGTTAGATATCCACTCCATTTTCTGGTCCTGGGTTGACTTACCTTGACGACCACAAAAGTCATAAGCCACTCCATACCCACGGACAGTGCTGAGCCGGCATGGCGCAGATGAAGGGGTGTCACTTCGGCGGCGTAGAGGAAGGGCAGACCGCACCATGAACACCCGTAGCAGAATTCGAACAAGAAGATAAACACAACCGATGCTGTCAAGGACGAATCGTTGTACACTCCAAGCCCGATGGTGTAGCAGATCATGCAGATGGAGCAGCCCACGGCTCCCCAGAGCAAGACAGGTCGCCGACCCAAAACTTCGACAGACCAGATGGCGGTCAACGTGCCACCCCAGAAGACAAGCGATAAACCTCCCGAAGTGATGCCCGCCTCATTTGGAGTCATGCCGAGATTGTTGATGAAGAGAAATGAGGCGTAGTACGCAATCAAGCAGATACCTCCAAGCTGCTGAAAGAACTGGATCAGGATGCAAATCCAGATTCGCCATGTGGCGTTGACGGGCGACCGATCGAACAAGATGTCTGAAATCCGGAATTTGACTTCATGTTCAACCTCCAAAGCTTGCATGACCTCGCGATGATGCTGCAGAACAGTCGGGTGGTCGATGGGGACGTTGAAGATGCGAGCAATCACTGAGTCTGCTTCCGCAAGATGGCCCTTGCTGTACAGATAACGTGGTGATTCGGGCAGCAGCGTAATAGTTCCCAGCGTAAGAACGCAGAAGACCATCTGGAAATAGAGTGGAAGGCGCCAAACGATTCCGCCCGTCATGTTTTTGACCATCCCGTAATCGAACCAGTAGGCGATGACAAGGCCGAGAATGACGATCGAGATCTGCACCGACACGAGAGCGCCGCGGCGGGAGGCGTGAGCACATTCTGACACCCACACAGGGATGATGGAAGAGTTGATGCCGGTGCCGAATCCGCCGACGACGCGGCCAGCAATCATCATGGCGACCGACGTTGCTCCACCTTGAAGCCCAGCACCGAGAATCAGAAGGCAGCATCCGATCATCACCAGGACGCGACGGCCGACCTTCATGCCGAATATTGCGGTCCCAATGCAGCCGACCAGACAACCGATGTCGTAGATAGCCACCACGGTTCCTTGCAGGTTGGCATCAGTGGCTCCTATCCCGAGCCCGTTCAGCAGCTGAGGAGTCGCGATCAGACCCCCGAAAACTCCTTGGTCGTAGCCAAACAGCAGAAAAGCCATGGCAGACGAGAGCATGATGCATACTTGGAGCCACACTCCTTTGAGCGAGCTCCAATAACCAACGTGAAAGCTTCCCATTGTTACAAAAATATGATGAAGTCGAAGGGTTCGGAACTGTTGATAAGTTGCACTTGGGTCTTGGAATTTATACTGCACCACCAACTAATGCGTCTCCATCAAGGAGTTCACAATAGCCAATGGTTCCATGAGCTGGAGTACCCTCCAGGTATATACCCAATGTTCTGGGTCAGGGGACCTGGTCGATACCCCAGATGCCGAGGAGAATAGATTTCCGAATTCACCAATCTCCGACCGAGGAATTCATGGCGCCCCAGTTTTTCAGGTCCACCGATAGGGCAATCGAGGCTGGTCTATCTGGGGTATCCCCAGAGAAGACCCTTTTGTAGAATAATGCGGGAGTAGAGACCCATGCTGTCTGGGGAAACGTGTACGCGAGTTCCCAAGGACCGAGCAGCCTCGCGAGAGGTTACAATCCCGAGCGACAAACCTGATCATCAACTCGGAAAGGACGGCGCTTCCTAAGAAACACAACGTAGGCATGTTGAAGGGCGCGATTAGACCTGTCTCGCGCTTTGGATATTTCCGTAGGGGTTCCCTCATTCGATGTATAAAGACATACAACTGCAACTTATGTGAACCGTGCGCTGCGCTGCAAAAGGATAATACTTCTAACTCTGCAAAATGTCTTCCCATTCCCCTAGCCAAGGTGATGTGATGTCGTCAGGTGCGGTAAATTCTCTAAAGGTCGGCTGGAGACACTGCTGAATGTAAGGGTCAGACGACGAAGAAGACGACCAACTTCCAAATACGGCGTCACCAGCGGCGGCGTGGAGTTTCTCGTCATAGCGCTCCTCAAGTTCGAAGAAATACCCCGATGAGAGCCCTTCGATGTCCTGGCCTGCGGTCTTTCGTACTGGGCTTTCCGTTACTGCTGGTTGTGTCGAAACACTGGCTCGAGTCCATTCAAAATTGTTGGGGCTGAATTGTTCACCGCCTATCGCCTTGGCTGGACCTGTATGGTTTGCGTCTTCAATGCCTGAGCCAAGCGACTCGAGGTGAGTGGGAAAGACTGAAAAAAAAAGGTCAGCAAAAGAGTTGATATTACGGGTTTTTCGAGAGATATGATGTGACATACGATATCGTGGAGGGATTCCAGGTGTTTGTAGAGGGTTGCCAGCACTCTTGCTAGCAGCTTCTAGCAGTGTCACAGCCCGCTGCACGGCTGTAAATCTCTTTCCGAGCGTCCGTAGAAGGCCCGTCAAAGATATCAATCTTTGCACCGCTAGGTCGCGTGCCTCTCCATTGGACGATTTGGCGTCAAGGATTAAGATTGTCACGGGAGGCAAGAGAAAATGGAGACTTCATGTATCAGCGGAAGAACAGCATTCAGCGTGATCACAAACTCACCTCCAAGCTGGCATAAAGGACAGACATTGTGAGCCCAACGCATCTTTGGCTAGTTCAGAAACTTGATGAGCAGCCTCAATTGCCTTTTTTCTAAGCTTCCTGCAATTCACTCTCTCATTTGCTGTATGACGGCACCGCAGTGTGCAACTCGAGTCAAAGTAAAACACACAATCTGCAGCTGCCATGATCATCTGCAAGAAAAGGCCCTCAGATGTTGCACGTTGTCCCGCATTCGACGTGGAATGTTCATCTGGTGAATGTCTGAGCTTCTCAGATAATATCGTTGCGTTCTTCTGCAATTGAATGCGACAATTTGCCACTTCCGGGTTCGTGAGGGCCATGGAAGGGCACGTCCCACTCCCTTGTGCGACGGTATCGTGCTGACTTGACGGGTATGGAGCGGCGTGCTTTATTGAGAGCATGTAATGGACATGAGCCATTAAGCGCACGAGATTCTCAAAAGATTCCATGGAATGATGGGCTGTAGCATCGGCGGAATTGCATGTGGACGATTCCACTCTTGCAACTGGTAATCTCTGGTTGTTGAACGGCGATGGCAGAACATGCTCCCAATCGAGATCCATTCGCATTTTTGGCGCCCGCCGCCGACTGAAAGCGAAAATTGTCTCGCTGACGAGGCAGCAACACCATAACTGGTGCCAAAATCTCTTGTCTTCACCATCTGTTGTAGCACGCACCATTTTCAAGAGGTCCAGGGACTCGGCATAGGCTAGGGCAGTCCCGGACCAGAAGCAGCAATCTCTTGCACCGTCTCTTACCTCGGTGCTTTGCGTCATAAGTAAGAGGGCCTGTAAACGGCTGATGGGATCAGATTCGACATCGCAATGTAGGAGATGCCTGACGCGCTCATAGTAAAGCTGCTGGGCATCTTGGACGTTATTGTGTCCAAGCTTCTGCAGAAGAGACACGGGCGCAAACTTATGCGATGTCAGCAGCTGAACTCATTACATTCTTGTAATCTTTCGAAGTGGTAACTTACGGGACAAACAGCCATGATGGTAGCATATACCTCCAACAAGCCAGGACGGGGGTTCTGCTTGTGAGTCGGGACGGCAGCGGGAGATGATGCTAACGCCATACGCCCTGGATGCAGGACGGGGAAAATTGGGTGGATGTTGTCCCAATATACCGAGAAACACTGTCTCACAACTGCCCTCGATGGAACTTCAAAAACACCCTTGTTGGCAAGAAATTCAACGGTGGCTGGTTCAAGATGGCTCGGTAAGGCTGCAATGAACGATGGTACGCCACCAACCTGCCGTTTGGTCGTTGCTGGTGCATCGTTTGCGTGTATGGGACTGCAGTTGAACTCGTGTGTCTCTAGAATTGTGGGATCCAGCATGAATGGCTTGCTTCCCGTCGTCGCGGATGCATTGCAAGAATCCGAGACTGGCTGTCGGGAGGAAGGCATCGTTCCGTCGTTACTGTCGAGTTGTCTCGGCGATTCATAAGAATAAGTTGGACCATCTCCAGCTGCGCATTTGCCTCGTTGTTAGTTTCTAGAGAGGAATATCCTCAACGATCAAGGATCAAAACATACAAAGCATCGGACGGCTAGCTTTGCGCTGCACTCCACACCGAGACGAGGGGATGATGGGCTGCGTGGCGACCTTGCGATCAAGCACAACGCAAGGTTTCGAGTCGAGCTTGCAGTTTGTACATGGTATGCCTTGATGCTGCTGGTCGCACCGGACTTTTCTTTCACGGCAAGATCTGCAAGCCCGGATGGCACGGCGCTTTCGTTTGATCACGGTCGTCGCCGAAAGAGGGCCTTCAGAGCTCTCTCGTATCTCCATGATGTGATGGTTGTGGTGCATATTACGCGCTGGTGACCCAACAGGAAAATTGTTTTGGATAGAAAAAGGTCGAACCAGGGCAAATATGGCTATCAGTCAGCCTGGGAATAGTCACAGGTGGTGTGGAGGCATCGTCGGCTAACAGGTTGGGACCCTGAGAGGGGGGCGGCGGCGACCATTGCCTCCATTGCCCAGCGAGTCTCTCCCCGCAATAATAATAGCTTTGATTCAGAGGCGATGGTGTGCCTGGGGACTTGTGCTTAGGGTCTCCGTTTCCCCCACAGCGGTGTCGACAATTTGGGGGAACGGGGGGGTGCAGCTGTCCCTTGCAGGTCGTTGTGGAACAGACGCTTAGGATGGTGCGTGTGTAATGGAGTGGTATGGTATTGTGTAACAATGAGGGAGATTTATCTGACCGCAGTCTAGCACGTGACTGAGAGCGCATGAATTGTGCGCCAAGACGCCAAGATACCAAAGTCGGATACCGGAGAAGACAACGGAATTCACCAGTTTTACTTACCAAGTACAGGAGGCAAAGTACTTGTAGGCACTAGGTTAGTCTTTGCCGAGGGACCCTTCAGTGGCCCCGAATGGAGGGTTCCTGGGGTGCTTGGTCCCCAGAACGGGGGCGTCTTGACCTCCCATGCATTCAAGAGCCTCTCCCGCCTCGTTCGACTGAACTCAACCACAGGCGCACCCACACTGCTAGAAACGAAGAAACCGAGACAAGTAGGGAAATATGCCGCCAGAGGGTGAAGTGCAAGCGAAGCGGCGATACTCATCCAACGCATGCATGACATGCAGGAGAGCCAAAATCAGAGTCAGTCTTCTCCTACAACTTGAATGGCGTCGAGCATGGATGGGAGTGTGACTCTGACTGCCACAGTGCGACAACAGGAAACCCCGGTGTTCCAACTGCGTCTACCGTGATGTCGATTGTCTACTTGGCCAAGATGGCCGAAAGTGAGTCTGTCCATTGCAACAGGTCCTGGTCGTGAAAGCAAAGAGAATAACAGTTGCGCCGCCAGACCTGCTTCCGGCATCAGCAAGAATCTCAAGAACAACGGAGCCAACCGCGAAGACAACCTCTCCACGGGCAACTCTTCCATCATGTCGCCGCACGGCTCCAAAGCCTCGGGAACATATAAGTGGCCGACAACGAGTTCAGCGCCTTTAAAGTTAGGAAGTGTCTCCTACTCGACGCCATCACCTGTAGGAGAGCAAACATTCAACCCTTTCAACCCTCCGGCGCACGACGAACAACGCACGAGGTCGCAATTTGCAGACGCCGGGGTTGACTATTGGATCGAAATCGCTGGACAGGAAGGCTTCGAAGAAGCGAGTGACGAGCTCGATTTGCTGGATTTACACACGATCGATACGGCCCAACTTTCACTCATTCCCAGCGCCGATCTGTCAAAAGACAACCGCAGCGAATTCAGGCAGGAAAATCCCGACTACACGACTGTCAGTCCAGCACAGGACATCGACCCATTGTTCAGTAATGACCCTGAAGCATTCTCTGTATTGAAAGACCATGACCGACCCAATGCTCGCCAAACGACTGCGAGTGAAGCAGACAGCTGCCAAGTTCGGGACGAGCCCACAGAGCAACTGGCCAGTCGGCTAGGTTGTTTGCGCATCGCTGAGGACGGCCATTTGAGATACTATGGTGCTACGAGTAATCTGCATCTCTTCCGAAACGGCCTCCAGCATTGCTTTCAGCCCTCTATACGGACAATTCGCACTCATGGTCAGGATGCCCTTGAACGTGCTGGTCTACACTGGTCTTCGGACCCTCGGTACGAAGACCATCTCACCACCTTATTTTTCGCCTGGCACAACCCGTTTCTCGGTGTCGTGGATGAGGCTGCTTATTACCACTATCGCCAATTATACCGCGCTGGCAACACCACCATTTACTTTTCTCCGACGCTGGAGAACGCAATGTAAGCCCATTCGTGCTATTTATGGCGTTGTCTCAGTCTTCCACTAACATGTGAGCCAGACTTGGAATTGGTGCCGCATATGCAACTCGGAAACACCCAGCGATCAAAGACGACCCAGCGGAATTCTTCGCCCACCGTTCGAAGGTGCTCCTGGACATCGAGATGGACAGCCCGAACGTGGCAACAATTCAAGCACTAGTAACCTTGTCAGCCCACGAAGCGGCGTATGCAAGGGATTCCAGAGGTGAGCATTTCCTCCTGGTTATGGTGAACTGTTTACAGGCACTGACTCGATGCGCAGGATGGCTCTACACAGGTATATAAATTGAATCGTCAACTTTCGGTACTAGCGTCTTACATGGAGGTTTAGGAATGGCGGTGCAACTACTCTCGGATCTGGGACTACATCTGGAGCTCGATCAAGCGCGCATCTCAGGCCATGACACTCCAGACATAACAAATTTACGTCGAACAGTCTTCTGGGCTACGCAAGGATTGGACATGTGAGTATTATTGCTTCCAGGACTCCGATTGTACTCGTCTTGAATTCTGCGCGAAGATGTGTGAGCTAACATGAACCAATTTCTCCAGCCTGTGGAGCGCCTACAGTGGTAGACCCTCGTCGATCCGATACGACGAACAGAGAATACCGTTCCCTAAACTACTCAGCTTAGACACATGGCGACCGTATGTGGATGAGGGTGACTCGGCACAAGTCCCAGCCGGCCTTGATGTGACCGTCATCGGCCAGACCCATGTTTACATGGCTCAGTTGACCACCAAAATCCGCAAGATATCCAGGTTCCTGTTGGTTGACAATCTGCTCCTTTTTGTCAGAGTTGACGCGTGCTGATGATTGGTTGACTTAGCTATACTGGGCCACAAGTTGCCATGACTGAAGCAAAGGCTTTTGCCAGAAACATGATGCGAGACTTGCGACATTGGCGGAATTCTCTACCTGCCGCGATGCAGGTACCTTTTTTGGATTCTGACGACGACACAGACGACGCCAACACGCCGATAGCTCCGGCAGTGATCATGTTACAGTATGTTTGGAGGGTCTCTCAATCGTCACACGATAGCTGCTAATCTCCGGGGACAAGTCTGCAATTTCTCGAAGCCGTCATTTTCTTACAGAGGCCATTCATATCTGCGCCGGACGCGCCTGGAACGAACACCCTCCAAGCAGACCAAGCCGACGACGACAGCGGAAGCATCTGCGACGCCTCTGCCAACGCCATCTGTCGCCTGGTCGTCATCTACCGGCAGCAGTGGAACCTACGACGCGTGCACGCCCAGATTGTCGCCATCATCCTCACAGCCGCCCTCATTCACGTGCACAACTGCTGCGTCTTCTCCAGCTCCAAGGGTGTCCAGGCGCACAAACAATTGTCGATCTGCTTCCAGGCTTTGGGCGAAATGTCCCACTTCAACATGAGCACGCGGGCGCTGGAGATCATTCTGTCGCTACGCCGGGATTGGCAGGATCAAATCTTTGGCGATCTGGGGAGGAAGCGCCTCGGCGGTGATCTTCAACGGTTACATTAGATGAGATCCTTCTGCATCTTTTGCTACTATTTGTTCCATTGAAGCTCTATCCTAGACAACTCTTGAGGGTACGAGTGTGTGCCTTTGAGTACGGAAATATTGGACTCGTCAGCAAGTCACTGCTCCCATCTGGACTTGTGATCCCGTGCCATCATGACTTCCGTAATAATTGATATTCATGGTGCGAATCAGGACCATGATACATATAATATTCCCTGCACTGCAATCTCTCAAGTTTTAGCCCGTGTAACTTTACTTATGTACCTAGTTCTCGCCAGAGCCGGAGTTACACCGGACTTGGACAACTTTGTACAACCCCACAGCCCACGGGTCTAGATCTGGGGGAGTGAGGGCTGGAGTGAGTGAGTGAGTGACTGAATGCTCCGCTCGCTCGAACTTGGGGGAGAAGAACCTAACTTGAAAGCAATCCATCTCCGAGGAATCCATGTTTTGTGTTTGGCGTGTTCCATTTCGGAGATCTGGGGAGCGAGATCCGAGGAGATTCGATGGTTGTCTGGGGTTGAATCTCCGGAAAACGAAACAACCCCAATAAGTCTGTGCGAACTTTTTTTCTTCGTAGCGAGTAGTAGTGTGAAAGGGGAGGTTTTGTTTTACCAGGAACACATACACACAGACAAAACCACATACCCACATACACACAGTTTAGAAGAAAAAAAAAAACAATCAGCACGTTTACCTAGCAAAAGCCTGGTACAGAAAGAAAACACCCAAAAAAATGTCGTACAGTGATCTAAAAGACAAGACGTTCCTGATCACGGGCGCCGCGTCAGGCATGGGCCGCAAGACGGCCAATCTACTCGCAAGACAAGGCGCAAACCTGGCGCTGCTCGACCTGCGCAAACCCGACGACACGCTGGCCGAAGTCGAGGCGCTGGGCGTCCGCGGACTCGCCCTGTCGGTCGACGTGCGGGACGCCGCGGGGGTGGAGAGCGCCATCACCGCGGCGCGAGAGCACTTCGGCGCCCTGCACGGGGCGGCCAACATGGCCGGGATCGTGGGGAGCCAGGGCCTCAAGGGCAAGGGGCACGCGTTGGACGTCGTGCCCGACGAGGACTGGGACACCCTCCTCGGCGTGAACCTCAACGGGGTCAAAAACTGTCTGCGTGTCGAGCTCAAGGTCCTCGAGGACGGGAGCTCCATAGTCAACGCCGGCAGCATCGCGGGTCAACAGGCCTGGCCGTTCCTGGGGCCGTACTGCGTCAGCAAGGCCGGCGTGCTCAGCCTGAGTAGGATCGCCGCGCAGGAAGCCGGGGCTCGAGGCATTCGCGTGAATGCGGTCGCTCCGTGAGTGGGCCCTTCCTCAATACCAACGAAAGTGTGGTGGGAAAAGAAGATACTGACGTGTGGACAGGGGCATGATCCGAACGCCTTTGACGCAGGCCATAGGTACCGACCAGGAACTATACGATGCAATGGGCGTCAGGACGGCGTTGAAGCGGATCGGCGAGCCAGACGAAGTCGCAAGGCTGATTGTCTTCCTCCTGAGTCAGGAAGCCAGCTACATAACAGGCGCGGTAAGTCTCCAGTGGCAGGTGTGTCAGAGTAGATGGGGCACTTACATTCGCTATCTGTGTAGGTCATCAATGTTGACGGTGGATATTCGTGACCATCGCTCCTGGGAAAGCGAGGACGACAAAGGGTCCTCAGAGGCATGCCCGGCTGGCAAGGCTGAGTGCCGGTGTTGCTCCGTCATGTGTCCAACTCAAGTGGCCTCTCTCCCTTTGCTGCATAGAAATAGCAAGGGATGAGTATGACTCGGGGGTATATACTTGGATATAATCCTGTTGGACGAAGCGGAGACAGTGTGTATATACGGGCCAAGAGTTTCCAAAAAGGGCAATATACTTGATTGGCTGGTGGCTGGGTGGATTCAGACATATGATTGGTCAGCTTGTGACAGAGTCACGCTATGCTATTCTCTCCACTCTCGATAGCTCCTCCAAGGTCTTCACGGGCTTTCTAGCCATCTTGAGTAGTTTTCGCGCTCACTCAACAGGTCGCTTTGAGGGCGGGTCTTTTTACCGTACAAAAATAATATGGTAAGCAAGCGAGGACGATTTAGCTAACAAGCCAACCTAGCTGCTTGTGGCATCTCGCCGCTCACTCCATCCCCGCTACCTTCTCTATCGCTGTAGCGTCTGTCAGTCGGTCAAGTATTCGCTCATTCTGCTGTCTTTGAGGAAGCTCGCAGCGAGCTATGGGCTTAGACTTATAGAAGAGCGAGGGGGCACTGGGGAACAGGGTCTCAGCTTAAACCACTGCCTCCTGATAGGTTGGACATGGACGACATTTCATTTCATTTTTTACTATATTTGTTGGGTGTCACCCCTCCATCTCTCAAGACCATAAACAACTACCCAAGGGCATTCATTACTATAACTTTCCCAATATCTCGTGCTAACTACTGCCCACCCCGCCCTCAAAGTGGTGCCCCATGTGCTGCACTCACATCATTTGTAGAGGCTCGGGTACTCCGCCTTGATCATGTCAGCTCCCTTCTCAGCCACCATGTAAACGTCGTTCTGGATGCGGCAGTCAGGAATGACGGGGAAGACCGAGGCGTCGATGACGCGCAGGCCCGAGGTGCCGTGGACCTGCAGCTTGGGGTTGACCACACCCTGCTGGATGTCTTTGCTCAAGCGCGCGGTACCACACGGGTGGAAGCCCGTCTGCGAACGCTCCAAGATCTGACGGATCATGGCCTCGTCCGAGTTGCGCGGCATGGGCCAGGGGTAGTCGCCCTCGATAATGTCCTTCATGCCCTCGCCGTTCATGACGATGTCGTCGATCATGCGCACACCCTCGCGCAGCGCGATCAGGTCCAGGTCGTGCGAAAAGAAGTTGATGTTGACGTATGGCTGCTCCTTCGGGTCGGTCGAGTTGAGCTTGACCTCGCCGTTGCGCGACAGAGGGCGCATCAAGTCCACAATCACAGTCAGGTAGTCACCCTGTGGAGGGGTCGGGAAATGCCATTGGAAGGCGTCACAGAACATGGGCTACGCAGGCATTATGTTAGCGATATGCTGGAAGAGAGCCTTTGGGGAAGGATACTTGCCACAAAGTCAACCTCAAAGTGTGGCTGTCCGCCAGGCCCAAAGGGGTCAACTCCGCCGTTCTTGGCCTTGTACTCCCGGTACTCTTTGGATGTCTCGAACCATTCGTCCGCACGGGGAAAGGCAACCAGTTCAAGCAGACCGCTGCTGTACGGGCCGGTACGGTCCTTGCGGTAGGCGGCGACGGCACCGTCCTTCTGAGGACCGGCACGCAGGAGATGGCTGTCCAAGCCGTAGCCGTCCTTGATCTTGAAGACGTGGGACAGGATGGGGTGGTCCAGGAGATTCTGGCCCACGTGCTGCGAGTCGACGAGGGTCTTGATACCCTTGGACTCGAGGTGTTCCTTGGGGCCGATGCCCGAAAGCATGAGGAGCTTGGGTGATTCAAACACTCCTTGTGAGACAATGACCTCGTACTTGGCACGGAAGGTGTAGTCTTGACCGTCAGGGCCGATGACGGTTACACCAACAGCCTTGTTGCCTTCAAAGACAAGCTTCTTGGAGATGGTCGAGGACATGAGCGTCACGTTTGGCTTGCCCTCGAGGAAGACTGCGGCGGTAGATCGGACACCCTTGTAGATGGAGTTGACGCACTTGAACAGACCCTTTTGGGTGCCGCTGTAGACGTCGGAGGTAAGCTCCTGGCCCTTGCTGACCCATGCCGTCTCAAGAGCATCCCGGAAAGGCTTGAGCTCCGGAATCAAGTCGGAATGCGAGATGTGAAGGGGCCCACCCAAATTGCCAATCTTTGCAAGATCGGTGGGGTAGAGGTTGTCGTCGTCGTGGTATGTCGTCGACTTGTTGAAGTATGCTTTGGTGTTCTCCCAGTTCCACTCGTCTGTGCCATACTCGGCCCAGTCATCGAAGGTGGCTGCGCTGCCACGAACCCATGTATAGTAGTTGCCACCACTGCTGCCACCGAGCATCTTACCACGAGTGTTGGGCTTCTCAACTCGGGTGTAGTCTGGTCGGTTGATCATGGTGGTTTTGTAACCCCAGTCATATTGACTGCCGCGCAGCTCAAAGGCACGGGCTGGGGTAGAGATCTCGGGGATTTCGCTAGTGTTACTACTTCGGGTCAGCAACAAAGGTTGAAGCCACGGGGTTGATGGGGCCATCGACGTACTTGATACCAGCTTCAATAACGAGTATTGAGACCTTGGGATTCTCAGCCAGACGACCAGCAACAACACAGCCAGCAGTGCCACCACCGACGACGATGAAGTCGAAGGCTTGAGGGGCACCTTTGGGAGCTGTGGCTGGGTGAACCATTGTGATTAGTACAAGGAGGATTCTTTCTGGGTATGGCTGTGTCAGGTGGATTATTGCTAATGGAATCGAGGGGAAGAGGGCAATGGACTGTGAGTGAATCGAATGTGAGCTGCTTGGATGGGAAGACTCTCTATATACCTCGAAGGCTGGTGAGAGCGTGTATCAGACGCTATCCGATGTAAGTTTGACGGACCAGACATGATGTCGTTGTCCATGCGTCTTTTGGAAACGTTTTGGTCCCAGCCACCAATTCACAGGGATGATTTACACCAACCGATGATGTTGTTAGATGCAGACGCCCTCAGGGTTGGCAAATGGATGAGCCCTTGGACAGTGGTCGGCTCCAGAGTGTCTCGATAGGGGCTAGACAGTGCGGATGAGGACAGGGCTGGTACCAGCTTGCGCGTCAGGAGTAACTTGAACATGGAGAAGCCGGTCTTTCCGCTTGGACATGAAGCTCAGAGTTGTCTCGGTTGATGTGCAAGGGTGTTCAGCAGAACCGGTCCCAAGTCACCATTCGTACGAGCTGTACAGGAAGAGCAAACCATTCCTCCACAGCCTAACATGCATTCGCACGAGCTGAAGGTTTCGGCTCAACCTGAGGAATTTAGTATCTCCTCCAGATGTATTATTCATCCGTGGATCCACTGTTCCAGGCATGGTCCTGGCTTCTTGACATGGCAGACTTCAGCCTCGCAGCAAGCGATTTTGGTGTTGCGCTGAATGCCAATCATACGTCAGTCGGTGTTGCTCTGCCAATCACCGGGCACTGGAAATTTTCCTGTTGCATGTGTAGTAGGGGCACTCGCATAGTCTAACTACCTGTTGCTGAGATGTGTCTCTCGCACGGATCACATTTTGCCTGGTCCACCAGATGATCTGATGCCAATAGCACCCGCGACTCCCCGTCAGCCGGAAAGCTTGAGTTGTTGGCCGTCGGGTGTGATGATACCATGGACGATATCTCTGGAGGTAGGTGTGCTCCAGGGAGTGACAAGGGACAGTCGGTAAAGACGTCAATGACTCGCGATTCTGCACTTTTCTCCCCATCAAGCCATGGGCGCGTTTGTTGGACGGATGTCGAGTGGCCACAGGAGTTGCGCCAACTACATTGTCCATTGGGAATGAATCCTTGTATGCTGTACATACCTTTACCCCGGTGTCTATCCGGTCTCTTGATTTGATATGAGGTTTAGGACACGAGGTAAAAAGATTCGCGAATAATTTTGGTCGGTGAATATGTCCTAAATGGACCCCTGGGCTTAGACTGGCTGGGTGGCTTCCTACTCGCTGTCTCTGGATGATTGTAGTAGCGAAATGCCTGGGACTCGTCGCCCACCTTTACCCGGCCCGGAAATCATGGTCAACCCACCCACCTTTACCCGGTGAAGCAAGAGCGAGGCGAGTTTCGGAATGCCTAGGAGGGCCTAGGTAAGAGTCAGCGACAGAGGGGTGAGCCTTCGTGCGAGGAGCCATTGGGGGTCTCATGCTGCTCGCCGTTGATCACTCGATGCAGTGTGATGAGTAACGAAGACACCATTGTCGCATATGGTGGGAATGTCCGAGCAATTGATGGAGGATTGTTTAGCATTGCACAGTTAATTTGTGGTGTTTGCAGTGTTGATCAGGGATGGTTCAAGAAGTGAAAAGCGCCTCACAAACATGACCGTTCCAACTCCCGCCGTAGGTAGTCGGAGCCCTCTAAAGCAAGGCCCCGACAGTGCCTAGAACTACCCCCAACCCCTATTTCCAGGCGTGTTTCTAGCCCCTAAAGCATCGGTCCAGGGCAGGTCTGCGAGGTAATTGTATGCTCGAAACCCCAACGATTCCCCTCACCCTGGTGGTAACTGCGCCCCTCTTACTTGTAAATCTTCACTTCAGCATTCCCCCTCCACCAACCGACAACTTGCTGAATAATTGATCAAGCGCTGAATCTACCATACTAATCCCCGCGCCACCCTCAATGGTGTTTTCTCGGACCATGGCCCGCCTCGGCTTCAGCCTCACCCAAGTCCATCAAACAGTGCCCGATAGCTATGATATCACCACCATAATTGCACATGTCCATTCTGACAAATCGGCCCTTCCGCAGCCTGGCGGGAAAGTATCCTCCACGCCATGTTAAAGCGGGTAGCATCCGTCTACATGCTGCTTCTACCATGCACAAGCCAATATGGACGACGCCGCAGTAGAGAGACCTGATGTCTCCACGGGCCAAATTCCACCACGAGCCTTCAAAGCACGGTCTCGCATCAGTGCCGCTTGCGTGCGTTGTCAAAAAAGGAAGATCCGCTGCGACGGGGCATTGCCAGCCTGTAGTGCATGCCGAAAAGCAGGGACCCCGTGCGTGGGCGGAGGAACATCTCGCGATATCCCTCGAAGGTGAGCCATGTGGTGCATAACGGACCACAAGCAGCACTAACCCGTTCGCCCATCAGCTATGTGCAAGACTTGAAAGCCCGAATCGCTTGGCTGGAATCCATTGTACGGGAACATGTGCCCAGCGTCGATCTAGATGGAGGCCCGCAGGATCAGTGCCATAGCACACCAGGTGGTCCGCCAAAGGAGTCTGGTCGGCTGCCTCAACCTCAGCAGGACGATGGAGTCTCCGACACCTATTCTCCCGAAGACGGGTCCCTCAACGATATAACTCGTCAGATTGGTCTCGTCTCGGTCACCACGGGAGCAGATCTCCGCTACTTGGGCCCGTCCAGCGGGTTGTTCTTCACCAAATTCGTCTTAGCAGGACTAGGACGCAAGATTCAGGTCGAGAAACAGCACTCTCTTGGACCTGCCAAAGATGGCTTTTCCATCCCCGCCGATCTCCTGGTGGTTCGACCTCAAGACCTCCCGCCGGACCAGAGACACGCGCGGTGGTTGTCGCAAGCATACTTTGACACGGTCCATCTCCAATTTCCCTTCCTGCATGAGCCGACGTATATGGAAATCCTCGACAAGCTGTATGACGGTGTCGAGGTCGGCCCAACCTCCGAGTTCCAGGTGTTCATGGTGCTCGCCATTGGTGCGACGATCCTGGCACGTCGAGTAAAAATACCCCTGTGTGCTGAAGGTTATTGCGCTTCTGCCATGGCTCGGCTCGACAGCATCTTTCAGAGGGCGTCTTTGACAGGGATACAGTGCATCTTGCTTCTGCAGATGTATGCCATGAACAACCCCTCGTCTGGCTTGAGTCTCTGGGCTCTGCATTACCATTGTCTGGCGTGGACAATTGAGTTGGGCCTGCAACGCAACGCCCCAGGAAACCTGTTTTCTGCGCCCCAGCAAGAGCTACGAACCAGGGTCTTTTGGTGTGTCTACACAATTGATCGCGCCTTGTGCACTCTCATGGGAAGACCACTTGGGTTAATGGACGAGCAATGCGACCTGAGGGTGAGTTATGCATCCCTAACCATTTGCGGTTTCCTCGACCAGGATTAACTGCTACAGTTACCGTTGGACATTAATGACAGCGACCCTGATCGCACCCAGACCCGGGCCGAGGACAGGAACGACTCCCTAACAAACCTATCCAGTGCAATCCACCTCTTCAAGCTGGCGAGACTCAACTCGGAGATAAAATGTGTTTTGTACTGCACTGGCCGACAATATCCGCCCTACACGCAACCAGCTACTACTGACCTCGTCCAATGGAAAGAGGAGATATTGAATCGACTTCGGAGATGGAAGGAGGAGATCCCACGACATCCAGCAGCTAGCGAACGGGACTACGTCAACCACATCTGCGAGATCAAATACCACGAGTTGGTCATGCTGGTTCTCCGACCGAACCCTGTTTTCCAGCATCCCACCAAGGCGGCGCTGCGTGAATGCTTCGCCAGTGCCATGGCCTGCAGTAAGCTCTACTACGAGCTTTATGCCGCCAACAAGCTCCATTACAGTTGGATTAGCGTCCATTCGCTCTTTCTCTGTGTCATCACCATGTTCTACTGCGTGTGGACGCCCGACGGAGTTGCCGACGAAGTGGACGTCGACACGCTTATGAGGGCGCTCAAAACTACCTCTGACGTCCTCAGCGCGACGGGAGAGTATTGGCCCGAGGCGAGGAGGAGTCGAGATGTGCTGGACCGCATCTCGGCCGCGACCATGTCGAGATTTACCTCAAGATTCTATGGAACGCAAAGCCTCAAAGTTCAGGCGAGACCACCACCCACGCCGCCCATCTCCACGACTACAGGGGTTGAACAACGAGCAGATATCCCTAACGCGGATCTCGTCCCTCAAACGGACTTTCCGACACTCCAACTCGACAACGGGAATCTAGACAGCGTGTATATGTCTCCGATTTACGAGACGCACGCCGACTCGTTCAACACCACCGACATGTTGTCGTACTTTATGGGATTTGGTGGGGATGGCAATATCAATAACGCCCAGATGACGGACGAGTACTCGTATCCCAGCGTGGACGAAGTGATGCAAAATTTCTTTGCCAACGGCCTCCAGGGGTTTGAGCAGATTATTCAGTAGACTTGTTCCCAAAAAGCATACCTTCTTACAGATACTGTTATTGTCAAGGCAGGTTATGGAGCAGACTCGACTGATTAGTTTCAACGCGGACAATATCAATCACATGAACGAGGCATTGTGACCGTGAAGGCCAGGCAGTATTGGACGGTCCACAGAAGTCGTCCGTTTCGGCCTTGTGTGGCTTCTGAGAAATATGTTCGGAAGAGATATTATTCAGCGACAACGGCCTTCTCACTCACTTTACCAATGACTACGTACAATAGACCATGTGAACCGTATACCAACGTCATTCATGTCTAGACAGATGCGGAAGACTCCGACTCTGCCTGGCAGGAAAGAAACGGAATCCCGCTGCTGCCAAGGATCCGCCGAACTGTCGCCGAGCTCTTCCGCTTTTGGATCGAGTATCAAGATTGACGACTCACGAGTATGTACGAGGTACTGAGTACTGAGCACTGTATCGGGACATGACCAACTCATCGGTTCATCGACGGCGGTGGCCCGTCTCTCCGTCTCCGTGGTCCTATCATTCCTCTCTCTCTCTTCCTCCTCCTCCTCCTCCTCCTACATCCCTCCTCTCTGGGGTAACGGCTAGGCCCGTCACCATGTAGGCGGTTGACACTGGCGTCTGGATGTTGCGGACTGCTCTTCATGCAGAAAAAACATCTATATATAAGGCAGGGATGTCTCATCTCGTACCCAGTATCTCTATATTCGACAACACACTTGTCAATCGGACAACCAAATCGCAAGGACAACCAAAATCAATCACACACAAACCACCACTCCCCCATTCGCCATGTCTGCTGCCAGCACACCCGCCAAATCCGTCACCGTCGCCATCCACGGCAAAGACATCTCGATCCCGACAGGTCTCTTTATCGACAACGAATTCGTCAACGCAATCGGAGGGAAGACGTTCGAGGTCGAAGACCCCAGCACGGGAAAAGTGATCCTCTCCATCCAAGAGGGTCAGGCCGAGGATGTCGACGTGGCCGTCAGAGCGGCCAGGAGGGCGTTTGATGGAGGCTGGGCTGACTCGGACCCGGCGTGGCGGGGATCGCTGCTGCAGCGCCTGGCGGACCTGATGGAGACGCACCGGGATGAGATCCTCGCCGTCGAAATGGCCGACAGCGGCAACACGCTCAACCAGGTCTCGACCGTCGACCTCCCTGGCTCGATCGGCACGTTGAGGTACTACGCCTCCTGGGCGGACAAGGTCTATGGACGCACCTCGGCCACCGTCCCGGGCACGTTCACGTACACGGTCAGAGAGCCCATCGGGGTGTGCGGCCAGATCATCCCGTGGAAGTACGTTTTTCCTTACCCATTTCTCGTGACAGCAGACAAGAAGAAACTCAACTAACCGCTCCGAACAGCTTCCCCCTGATGATGTTCATCTGGAAGATCGCCCCGGCCTTGGCCACGGGCAACACGGTCGTGATCAAGTCCGCCGAAAGCACCCCCTTGTCGGCCCTCAAGATGTGCGAGCTCATCCGCGAAGCTGGGTTCCCGGCTGGCACGGTCAACCTGGTGTCCGGGTTTGGGCCCACCGTGGGCGCGGCGATTGCGAACCACATGGACGTCGACAAGGTCGCCTTTACGGGGTCGACCGCGACTGGACGCGTGATTATGAAGGCGGCCGCTTCGTCGAATTTGAAAAAGGTCACTTTGGAGCTTGGTGGTAAAAGCCCGGTAAGCTAGACGACCCCCTTCCCTCGTCGGCTGTGGTTGTTCTCTTTCTTTCCTTTTATTTTTTGGCCTTTTTGCCCCCAGCGAGAAGCTGACGACTGCCCAACCACAGAACATCGTATTCCCCGACGCCGACCTGGAAAAAGCCGTCGACTGGTCCGTCCTGGGCATCGACTTCCACGCCGGCCAGGTATGCCACGCGGGGACGCGCATCTACGTGCACGAGGACATTTACGACGCCTTCCTCGCGGCCTTTACCGCAAAGTTGGCCGCCGTCAAGGTCGGCAGCAACTTTAGCGACCAGACGGACCAAGGGCCGCAGATCAACAAGTCCCAGTACGAGAAGATCCTGGGGTACATTGACGTGGGCCGACAAGAGGGGGCGACGCTGCATCTGGGCGGACACGCCATCTCCAAGGACGGCGGGTACTTTATCGAGCCGACCATCTTTACAGATGTCACTCCGGAGATGAAGGTAAGTAAAGCATAACCCTCCACTCCAAAACGAAAACCCCCCCGGTTCTCCTGCCCGCAAACGCTGACTCGGGGGTTCCAGATCGTGAAAGAAGAAATCTTCGGCCCCGTCGTCGTCATCGCCAAATTCAGTAGCGAGGAAGAAGTCCTCCGCGCGGCCAACGACACCAGCTACGGCCTCGCCGCGGGCGTCCACACCAACGACTACCAGCGGGCGCTCCGCGTCACGAAAAAACTCAAAGCCGGCACCACCTGGGTCAACATGTTCAACTTCTTGCACTGGAGCATGCCCTTTGGCGGGTACAAGGAGAGCGGCATCGGGCGCGAGCTCGGCGGCGAGGCCCTCGACAATTACACGCACGTCAAGACGGTGTATTTCAACATGGGGCTGGCGGCGCCCAAGCAGGTGTCGTTCTCGGGCTAGGTTTGGCCAGGGGGTTGTCTGTTTTCCACTAAAGAAAGCTCTGGTGACTCGGTGAGGAAGAGGTTGAGAAAAGGTGGGTTAGGTTTGTTGATGTATATGTGTGGGATGAAACAGATATAGTATGGTTTATTTTTTCATATGTGACGTGACGATCAACGACACTCGTTTATAACTAGCACGCGAGATTCTAGGTAGTGGCAATGAAAACAAAACACAGGGGGAATGCATCAATATTCTCGACAAGTACATATACATGTATTCCGTTCCCTTTTCCCTTTTACCCTTCCCCTGTTTCCTTCCTCCCTCCCTACCTCTGGCATATGTACTCTGCGGACAAGGCTGTCCCGAAAAAGGGGCTAGTGGTCTAGTAGACTAGTGCGCAACCAAGTCAAACCAACCAGCCAGCCAGCCCCTCAACCGCCCTATTCACTCATAGGTACTTGTGCTTCGTATTTGGTATATCAGCGACAAACATCTCCCTCGGTCGACTGTTCGATCAGCTGGTGGGCCGATAACATACCATGGCAGAAATGGGTGGGCGGTGGGGAGAGGAGAGTAAGAGAGGAGCGGTCCGCCACCCACTCCGATCCAAAAACCGACGATGCTGCAATGTGGGCCTCGATCGTCGAGTGGATGGAGGAACGGAACGCCTCCTCCTTAGTCTCCTGTGTCTAGCATATAAGCGTGCATGAAATGAAGTCGATCGAGGCGCGAGCTGCATCTCTTTGCCGCGCTACGGAGGAACCATCACATCCAGATTCCCCAGCCTCTACAGATGGTTGCCTCCACCTTCCATGAGCAGTCTAAAAACAAGTCAATCCGAAACACAATGCAACAATAGCCTGAGCTGTTGGTAGGAATATTATTAGGTATTGGAAGATACAGCCACGGAGGCAAGAAAAGATATGGTTGTCGTGTGGGCTGATCCGTCAACCTCCCTTGACTAGTCGTTCCGATACTTCAGCCTCGGGCATCACTTCTTCAAAGGTGCAGTTGGAAAAAGCAGTTAAGCCTTCCCATCTCTTCCCAATAAAAGTATGCCTTGCTAAAAGCATATCGTCCTTCCTTCATCTTGTGCTTTTGTCGATCGATGTTTGCGCTCATGTTCTTCACTTAGGCAGCAGCGGCAGCAACCTCCTCAGTCGTGCCGTTGGTGCCGTTCTCGGTGGCTTCACCGGCTTCACCTGCTTCACCAGCACCATCTTCTTTTCCTGGGCTGTCGATGGCGACCTTGACCGCGATTTCGCGACCCTCGATCTGCTTGCCGTTCATCTCCTCCACAGCCTTCTTCTGCATCTCCTCCGAGGCCAGGGTCACGAAGCCAAAGCCACGGCCTTTGCGAGGCTCGTTGCGAGCCGCAAGTTTCTTGACCATGAATCGGGGGATGGGACGCAGGGCGATCTTAGCAGAGCTGGGTTGGTAAGCGGCGAAGAGTTCCTTGAGCTAAATACAAGGGTTAGCATAATCTATCACTGCGACGGGGTATGGGGTCCTTACCTTTTCTTCGCTCAGGTCGTAGGGCAAGTTGGCAACCATGACCTTGGTGGTTGATGGAATACCATCTTCCGGGGGACCACGTTGCTTGGGGGGACGGGGAGTGCGAGACTTGGCATCAGCTGCAGGAGCGGCTTTGTTGGCATCGGCAGTGACATCGGTCAAGGGAAGAGGGTTCTCTGCGAGGTCAGTGGCAGGTGCACCACCCTCCTACAAGGAAATCAGTCAGCAGGTTCCGGAAGGGTCAAAATGATTTGTCGCATCACGTACAGCAGCGCCTCTTGCGCCTCCACGACCACGACCACCCCGGCCACGTCCGCGTCCACCACGACCGCGACCAGCGGATCTCTTTCGGTCTGCGTCTGCCCCTTCGGCAGTACCTTCAGGGGTTGTGGCCTGATCAGGCTTGCGAGCAACCTGGACAGAGACTTTGCGCTCGAGAATCTCCTTGCCGGAGAGGTTCTCGATCGCCTTTTCCGCCTCTTCTGCAGTCTTGAGGTCGACAAAGGCATAGCCTACTGGGCGGTTGGTGCGAGGGTTGACGGGGATTGAAGTTGACTCGCTGTTGGAACAAAGTCAGGCACATGGATGCGATAGAAGCCCAGAAGTTGCCACCTACACATCATAGCCAGAAAAGAACTGCTTGAGTTCCGCCTCAGTGGTCGCATATGCGAGATTCCCAATGTACAAACGCCGGCCCTCGGCAGCGGAGGCCAGAACGCTCTCGTTGTTGGCAGCAGAGGTATCCTCGATGCTGGCGTTCTTGAGGTTTTCGGCTAAGGCGTCTACGGCAGAAGACATTGTGGCTGAGGCACAAGTTGGTGTTGTTGACAAGTGGTTTGAAATGGGGACTTGTGGAAGGGAACTTGACTCAGGTAGCTAAGGGCTGCCTTGGGAATCAATTGACGGAGGGGTGTAAAGGGTAGCTAAGTGCCCTAGATTCAAAGGATTGTTTGAAGATGAGCTCGCGTTGTGATCAGTCGAAGGATGAACTGGTTGATGAGTAGACAAAAAGGAAAGGGAAATTCCAAAGGGGCCTTTTTGACTGCTGGCCGAGAGAAAATTAATTGTTTAGCGGCAATAGCGGTGGGATCCATTTAGTGACGCGGAAGTGACGAATCGGCGGGCCTAAACGGACGGACGCGAACCAAAAGAGGGTAAGCGCAAATGACATCCGGTGACACTAACGGACATTAACAAAGGCCCCAGCCGTGGGTGAGTGGGTGACAAGTGCAGGACGCAAAGCCCCATGTCAGATGCCAGGCCGTGGCGAAAAAAAAACTGCTGGATGCATGCATGGCAACCAAGGGTGCATGGTCAACATCAGCTCTTCTTCGTCTCGCGTGCCCAAAGTGATGTACTCCCACGCCTCCTTGCCCCAGTTGCAGCTAGCCTGATGAGCCCTGCATTTTGGTCCTTTCTCCACCAGTCAATTATTGCTTGCATGGACACCTACGAGAGACTTGTACCTGACAGACGCCTCCTTTGACCCGCACCATACCGACCTACTGGGATCTCCTAACCAGATGCCTCGCAGACAGCGGCACGCCAATCAAAGGATGGACATCGGGAACCGTTGTCAAAGAGGTGGCCGAACATTCACAAATGGAGTAGTGTGATGGAGACCAGGTGAACATCCGAAGAGGAGCAAACAAATACCAGCAGCCTCGTCTTCCAGAAATGCCAACCTTGTTCAAGAGCCATGCTAGTAGCATCCCCTATAGCTGCATGAACCCGATGCTTCAAGGCAACCGAACAGATTGGCTGTTGACAGTTACAAAGTCAGGCGCCACTCATCCACAGTGCGTCTACATAGCTTCTTGAGACTGTATATCAACCAGGGCAATATGTGTTGGCAGCAGGGAGAAGATCTAACGAAGGCGTCTGGCCTTGATTTGAACGCCCAGTCTGTCACGCATCTGTCTTGGTAGATCTAGGCATCGGTTGCTAATCCCACGCCATGCTCGGGCCATGGAGCTGGAATAGTTCCCACTTGGAGTGATCATACGAAATGAAGCCGAATACGCTGCCCTTTTTTCTTGAGGGAACCCTGTCAATCTTGGTGGGAGGCCAGGGAAGGCAGAAGCTGCAGTGATGCAGTGCCCAGTCTCAACCTTATATGTTGAGAAGTGATATACAGGCTGCAGGAGGCTAAAGAATAATAATGAAGCGCCCTGATGAGCCTCCAGCCTTACCAGTAGTTAGATAGATAGAGTGAGTGATAGGCACTCAGGCTTCAACGCCACAATGGCGCTGCGCCCCCAACTTTTCGCGTCTCAGGCTCTCAGCTGCTCCTTGCCCCGTGTTTTCCCACAGCCGCTCGCTGCCTCTTCACCTCATCTGTACCACCATTGTCACTCCTTTTGTAGTTTTGTATAGTAGTCCTTTGCCATTTGTATATCTGTCGATTGCTGGTCCTTCCTTCCCTATTGAGCAACGTCCCTGTCCTTCGTCCTACGAATAACGGTCCTTTCCGCCTGACGATTTATCTTTGCCTCGACTGCAGAGTAACACAACCAGGCAACCCGGTTTCAGCACTGCGCCAGCCTCACCGTTAATTCTTCCCGAGTTGCAGACTATCAGAGGGTCTTTCGATATTCTCTCCTCGAAATATCTCTTTCCGACACCTTCAAGTCTCGGCACCTCCAGCAAAAATGAGGCTCCAATTAGACCAATTCGGGCAGATCAAAAACTACATTCACATGGGCCAGGGCGCCATTCTCTTCCTTGCCTGGGTCCTGACAATCGCCTTACTGACCAGACCTGGCACGACGGATGGCCGGGTCGGCTGGTACTTTGGCTTGGTGAGTCTGCCGTCCACTTCCCACTCCGCATGAGAAAGGACCAGACTGATACAGAGCTACGTACAGTGTTGGCTCACGATTCCCATCCTCATTTACCTCGTAATGGTCCCTATGTGGTCCCGCGCCCGCCGCTTCTCTAACGTCTATGCCTTCGCCGCTCTAGACTCTGTTGCTGTCATCTTCTGGCTCAGTGCCTGGATTGCCGTCGCCAGCTATGTCTCCTCGGGAAAGGGCAAAGGAAAGAGTACAGACAAGGATGCTAAAGGGTGCGATAACTTCAAGTATGGCAGCCCCGGGCGGTGCAAGCTGTCCGAAGCAATCATCGTATTCGGTGTGTTTGAAATGTTGCTGTTCATCGCCACGGCCATTATCTCCTTCCGAGCTGTTATGACGTTCAAGAGGACGGGGATGATGCCTCAGAACCTCCCCGCTTCTGGAGGCAAGAACGACTTCTCTGCACAAACGCAGGATGATTTCTCAAGTAATATGCGGACCGATGACGAAGATTTCGACGAGCATCCTGGTATGGGCGGCAGGCAGGAGTATGAATACCAGAAACCTTCGCTCGACGATTCGTATGCACCGATTCGCCAGAGCGATCACGACAACGACCTCGCACAGATGCCTGCTGCGCAGCCCACCAGCCCATTGAACCATTCTGGCTTGGGTATCCATGACTACAACACGAGTTATAACCCGGGGGCATACAATGGTCAGAGCCAACCTATGATGACTGGGCGATAACGAATCTCATTGGCTTATGTTGCTTCTCCTTTTTCTGTGCTCAAGATAAACATGAACCTTGGGACGGTGGTGAAGCAGAGATTTGGTGGTCCTTGTAATTTATGACGGATGAAGCGTTCGAGCGTTTCCCCTCCCTCTTGTTTCGGTTTATCAGGAGGGTTTGGAATGTCTGGGATCATTTGGAATCCTGAATAGACTAGATTTGGAAGAAAACAGTTATGATGCCACTGACTGGGTTGGAGCGAAGAGGCAACCCCCCCGTTTCAGATATATACAATGACGCAAGCTCCTATACTCGGTACCCCTTCCTACTCGTACACTGTTCCAGAGTCTAGGGTTATACCGCGTGGCATCACCCTGCTCGTAATTGGGTTCTGTAGAGAAGGGTTTCGAATGTACGAACGAGGTACAAGCACAGCAAACAATGCACCGACACCCCCGAGTATTTGTGATGACGAAACCTTGCAGCAAGACACTACCGGCCACTACTGCGAGGTAACTGGGGAGTATCTAGTAAATGTAACTTACTACCTAGTGCCATTGATACATGCAAGGTACCACCGTCGCCGAGCACGGGCACGGGTATGGGTCCCAAAACCAGTACCAGTACCAGTACCGGGGTTACGGGTATAGACCACTGGGCGACCGGAACTCCGTATGAGGGAGGCAGATGTGCTCTCGCTCCAGGATGCACTACCATGCTCCAAAATAGAGTATTCGTAACCTTGCCTTACGGTTTGGGATCGAGTCGTGTAGCACAACGGCAAGCAACAACGAAAAAGACACGACTGCAAAAGACAGCACCGTCTAACCATCTTGGAATCCTCTGTTATTTCTTCTCGGGCTATCTGATCTGATGTTCGCTGCTCGTCTCGTTGCTCAAAATGTCGATTCTGTCCTGTGAAAAACAAAATAGTTCAATCACGATTCGTTTCGTTTTTTGTCCATTGCAAAAATCTGCAGTCTCGCGATTCGTCAAACTTCAGAAACCCAAGCTCTTCAGTCACGTACCACCCCACCCAAGCCAAGTGTCGACACATGGTATGCTCCAAAAAATCAATTCTGGCCGTGAACAAGAGGCCTGCCGTGTTGGATCGTCGTTCTGGCCCTGACAGACCGGGAAGAAATGAAATGTCGGGGTATTCCAGGCCAAATCCTGGTCCCAATTCCCACAGTTGGCAGAGCCCAGAGTCGCTCAAACCACTTCACCACCTTCCGGGTTTGCGCCATGACGCCTGTACAAGCCCTCGCGGGCATATCCATACCATCCGTTTCGTCGCCCAGTTGACAAAGAACAAATCACAAAAAAACTCGTATTGCCAACCCGTAGATTCCAATAGCTGCTTTTGTCTCAGGCCTGTCTAATCCGGGGAAGGTATCGAGCTCGCACAAACTGGCGTTCCGTGTGGTGCGCACCAATGCCGCGTCGAAGTCGCACGCTGTAAGCTCCATAGAATCCAGGAAGTCATGTGCAGGAAAGAAAAGGATACAATGTCATCAAATCCGGTCATTAGTGTGATTGCGGGAACCTTGATGGTAACCGGCCATCATTCATAGCGACAAGCTCTCCCGAGAACCTTTTCAACCTCGGTGTTTCTGGTCTCATAATAGGATCAAGTAGTTGCTCGGTGCGATACCCGTTTCGCCATTTTCTTTCTTGGCCTGCCACCACCGGCCGCTTACATCAGACACCTCCAGAATCTCGTGTTTGCTGAAGCTGATCTCATTCGCATCGTCTGGATTGGCCTCATAACTGTAGATGGCTTTGGCGCGGTATGGATATTCGGTGGGTGGGCTGACTTCTTGAACTGGGGCGGGGGCGCCGCTGGTGTTGACTGCCGGTTGTGCAGAGGCCCGGGCCGCTGCTCCTGCAGGTCCACCTGGGTAGCCTGAAACAGGAGAAGATGTCTCAAAACCGCTCAGTTGCGCCGATGTGTACATTTGAGGAGGTTGAGCAGAAGCAGTTGTCTGTGGGCGATCATAAACATTGGTCATACTTTGTGGGGGTCCTCGGAAGGACTGGCGTTCTTTGTGCAGGGCAAATTGGTCAATGAACTCGCGATGGGCTGCCGCAGGGGTTGAACCGAAGTAGAAAATCCAAATGATCTGGACAGAGTCAGTCGACCGCGATAAGGCAAAGATACAAGGTTTTGGGAAGCCATTGACTCACCGCAACCATAGAGAGCAAAATGTGGCCAGCAGCAGCGGCTTCCATGGCGCCCTGTGGCTGGTAGACGAGAGAATTGACTGCAG